CTAACAATAGTACCCAGGAGAGATTTGATTGGACGATAAAAATAGACACACTCCGTCAAAAACCCAAGATTTATCTCCCAGTACAGCAATGGCTAAAGACGGATTTCTCCGGTCATTGCTTCAGGAATATGGTAATAATATGCTGTTGACCATGGCTGTTCCGAAATGCTTATTTTGCCCATTGGAAATATGAAAGTGTTCTCAGATCGAGATGACTTAATCTCCAGATTTTGCAATTTTGTCCAAATTTAAAAAGAATTGTAAATGAAAGCGTGACCGAGTCTATACATGTCTCCATGTAAGCTTCTAACTAACGAGAAAACTATTTCCTAATTGCCAAACATTGTCTACGGGATCATCAAAACAATAGAAATACAACACCCATCCACTTAAACTCATATTCATCTATTTCTTGACCATTCAATAGTTACGGCTGCTTACACGCCGTTCCTTAATTCGATGCCTGCCAGTCTTAAAGGATGATTCCAATTGACCGGTCATTCAAATCAATACGCTTCAGTGGCCTCACTGATTTCTTCCTTGTGCCTAATGGTGATGAATGGATGAAGATAATTTTTATAAATCTTTAGAAGCCTTTTCGCCTAATTAATCAAAATGAATAGAGAGACGACTGTGTGATGGTTGCTGTTACTTTTTGATTTGACATCATTGACTTCCAGAATCTGGTATCAAATATAGCGGAGGGAATGGCAACAGTTTTAAAGGAACAATGCCGAAGTTTACGAATTATCAAGACACTGCAAATGCAATCTGATCCTATTTCGTTTCGTTTTTTATAGTTCCAAATTTTGTTATACTTGTCTTTACTACAATAGGATCTGGAAGAGTTGTTATATAACAAGCGTTCTGGATTATGTGAGGGAATGAAACAGTCTGTTACGGCGAGCTTTAGGCGTGAGGTGCACGGAACTGTGGGTAACCCAAATGTCCGACATCATAGGTCAAAAGTCGCTACCCCTGTCACGACTCCCACCCCCCACTACAACTGGTCAGATCTTTATGTGTAAAAAAACGAAACGAAATATAGATGTGTATTTTAATGAGATTGCTGCAAATGGGCTTCAGCATGCCAACAACTGTATGGCGTATGCCAGTCTTCATTAACCCAATCGGAGATTCGGAGCAGAATGGTAGGACGTTAAATCCCATGTCATTTCATTTCATTTCCGTCCTGCGTCATTGACAATGGTTAGCCACTATGAAAAATGCAGGGGAATTTTTTCTGGGCCAACTCGGGGATAGAACCACGGAACTTCTAACTAGTGTCCCGGATACTTACACACTGAGCCACCATGACTCCTATTACGCTATATCTGGGATGGTCCCATTAAGGAAACTAAAGGATATGAAATTTCTATAGCATAGGTACAAAAAAGTTGTCCAATCTTCAAAGCTCTTTATGAATGCCCCACCCCACTCAGACCACCTTCAAGCTGACCTCCAGTTTGATAAACGAGGTAACATGAACTGCCAACTTGCCGGTTTAAATCTGGTATCAGACGGTATTTTTCGTTAAACGATATTAAATCCCGTCTGCAACAACAAGCAGGTTTTTGGTGGAAATCCTATACCAAAAATGCAATTTATAAAATAAATGATATGACGGTTTTCATGATGACCTCATTATTTGAGTAGCTGAGAGTATCACGAACGTGTGACATAGTAGACAAAGTAATTTTCTCGCTTTAATGATTTTACGGCATATTGGACGAATAAATGGCCGAACACGAAGAAAAAAAGACACCTGCTAGTCCATCTTCGAGTAATATACATCGAATGCAATTAAGTAATCTTTTTTTTTTATCGAAATCCGTGTAGAATAATGACTACATCGATCAAAATATCCTTTAAAAATAACATGCGCTTCGATTAAGTCAGGAGTTGCATACAAAGTTTTATTTGAAAAGCATCGTACACCCAAATCTTAAATTCATTTAATTAATTATAGAATTGGGTCATTGAATTAATTCGTAGCTGAAAGACCCCGGGCGTATGCAAACAACAATATTGTGAAAGTTGAATCTCTAATAGGAATATCCAAAGATACCGTTCAGGGGGGTGTTAACGTCCACTCGACACAAACTAGGTCATTTCGGGACTAACATATGGTTCAATTTTATTTCAATAATTCGCTTGTGCGTAAGGGTCTTTAGCAGTGGAGGGGGGTTGGATGGCCGAATGGTTAGCACGTGCGCGCTGTATCATACGGTCTGTCATTGAGTCAACTGGCGGCGTTTCGATTCCCCGGTTGTACGTGACACGGAGTAGGGTTGCCTGTCCAACCTCGTAGGTTTTCTCCGGGTCCTCCGGTTTCCTCCCACTCTTAAAGCCCCCTACGCGCAAGCGAATTATTGAAATAAAATTGAACCATGTGTTAGTCCCGAAATGACCTAGTTTGTGTCGAGTGGACGTTAAACCCCATTTCTCTCTCCCTCTCTCTCTTTAGCAGTGGGAGGAAACCGGAGGACCCGGAGAACCCCCTTGATGTTGGACAGGCGACCCTACGACCCTACTCCTTGTCACGTACAAACGGGGAATCGTAACCACGCCATGATGCAACACGCAATTAGCGCTAACAATTCGGCCATACAACCCCGTGCACGTTAAAGAACCATTGCGATTGGAATTCGATATAAGAGTGGGCCGTAGCCACAATGTATTCTAGTCATCATTAACTCGGTCGGAACAGAACAGTTGGACGTTAAACCCCATTTCATTTCTTAAAGACCGAATACAACTAATCAGATCTATAAATTATCATGCTGTGAAAACCATCTCTCTGTGAAATCATTTGGACTGGACTTAAACTTAAATTGGTTGGTTGTTCTATATACCGTGCTGTGATGCTAGGCGATAGTACGGAACCCTTTAATTAGTAGAAAACATAATGGAGGTCATTTACTTTGATATATTCCTGAAACGTTCTATCATTCTAATTTTATCTTATTTAACCCGTTCACACACGGTTTAGTAGATAATCGGAATCGACCTTAAATTCCCACTGAATTGGAGCAATTAGGCAAGACCTATATATTCTAAGCGTGTTCCTGGATAGTAATAAAAGAAACTATATGGAGATTTGCCACTATAAAGGCCACCCAGTTAAATACAAAGTGAGAGGCAATGAAATGAAATGGGGTTTAATGTCATATTTTTCTGCGCCGATTGGGCTAATGGAGACAGGCGTACGCTTGACACCTTTTGTAAAACTATTCTAAAGAATGTCATTAAACGGCAATACATTTCGTTTATTCTGATATCTAAAACCATGTGGAGGATACACAGGCACTTGAAGGGATTAAAATAAAACTTCTTACTATAGTCAAGCAGTAGTAAGAAGTTTTATTATATATTTTAATCCCTTCAAGTGCCTGTGGGAGGGTATTAGGGCATAGTCCACGTATAATATTACATTTAACTGGTACGCCCAAATTTTGGGTCCAGAACGCTTCAGAATCTGGCAATGCCACGCCAATATTGATGTCTATATAGCCTTATAGAATTCATATCTATAACTTAACGATACATTTACACGAAAGTATTTTTATGGTAGTTATCTTTGTCTGGCGGAATTTTGTCTGGCGGTTTTGATCCTATTTTCAAGAAATTCGAACTCAATCATCATTATGATGTAACAGTGATATATTTAAACGTACGAACGTTTTGCTTTTTTAAAAAAAAAAAAAAAAACAGATAAAAATTGTGACCTCTGGGGGGGGGGGGGGGGGTTACAAGCTATAATCCAGGAAGTTCCGGTCCGATATGCGCGAATATCGACAGGGACCAAGATCATTGGGTAATAAACAAGCATTTCAAGTTTCAACCAAATCGGATGAAAATTGTGACCTAGAGAGTGTCCACAAGCTAATAACGTAATATTATCGTACACTCAGGGGCCATAATGCATGAAGTTATGGTCCGATACATGCCAATTTCAAAGCTAACTGAGATCCGTGGGAGATAGACCTATATTTCAAGTTTCGTCAAAATCGGATAAAAATTGTGACCTGAAGAGTGTCCACAAAAAAATTGTGGACGGACAGGGGCGACATGAAAATGTGGGCGTATAAAAATTAGGGTATCACTAATGGCGGCTTGTCTTTAAATTGACCTATTCGATAGTTTTTGTCTGTCGATATCTACTTTAATTTATTTTTTAAAAAAAAGCAAAAAATCATGCTAAAATTAACAAGCCAACAGTGAGGCTGATGTCCCCCGCCGAAATTCCAAAATAATAGATGACACATATTGATGAATTGCACATTTATCTTTTTCAAAATTAGCCTATTGGGCAATCAAACTGATTATCTATACTTAGTTTAAGCATAAAATGTTCGCAATCAAACTCAGACAAGGTTTTGAAGTACCTTGTCCCAAAGCATCGACCTATGAAACTGCTTAGCTCTGCTTAGCTTTAGTGGGAAATTTTAATCATTGAACTCAGTCACATCTACATCAAGTTTAAACATTCTACCTTAATTAAAAACAGGGTTGTTACGTTCCAAAGTCTTTACCAATCAAATTGCTTATCGCTAATTAGCCTTAGCAGAAAATGTTCATTATCGAACTTAGTCAAGGTATTGATGTAATGAAACTATAGGCTACACCAAGTTGCGTTACTCTCACTTTTAAGTTAGAACTAAAGTTACCGTGTCCCAAAGCATCAACCAATCAAATTGCTTATCTCTGCTTACCCTAAGCATAAAATGTTCATCTTTGAACTCCATCAAGTCATTCACCTAATAAACACCTCCACCAGGAGGTGAGTTATTGTGTCCCAAAACGTGTGACGGACAGACAGACATACAGACGGGCAGACCCATTTTAATAGTCCCCTGCTTTCTTGGAAAGGCGGAGGACAAAAATGATTACACAGCTGGTGTCAAAAAAAGGGGGCGCGTTATAAGCTAACCTGTGTGGAGCTCCTTTCAACAAAAATCGAATGGTGGAAAGTAAATATGCTACTAACTTCAGACAATAAGTAACTGTGCTCAAAAATAGATTTCATAACTATTGAGTAATATTTCATCACGGACGTACACGTGGAGTTTTTATTTTTAGATACCAATCCCAGTGGGTAATATAAAGATTGTTGTATGCCAAAACTCTACACAAGGATACTTAAACTGTTGGTATACCGGTCGAAAATAAAGAGGTAAATTATATTTTAAGATAGACCTTTCTCCTGCATGATCACCAATGACACCATGCTGTCGATCTAGATTGTTAATACTTATTTTATGCCATACGTTAAATCGTATTTGTTTATCGACTTCTCCGTCTCACGCTTGTCTTGTTCATTTCATGGTTTTGTGTAATTTCTCGATAGTTTACGTGGGCGCTATTGCACTTTAGCAAATGGCGTCAAACGGATGAAGTTCTCTCTCGTTAGAAATTAAAAGGTCGGTAAAATAAAAAGTTATTTATCGATTCGGCTGAAATTTGGTGTGTGGTCATTGCTAGCCCCCCTTAACATCCTCTGAAAATTTCAAGTTCCTACGACCACGGGAACTGGTAGAGGTACGAAAGTGCAATAGCGCCCGATATTGATCATGTGTTGTGATCTCTATTGGTCGAAATGGGTAAGTTATTAATAGTTAAATATTCGCACTGTATTGTCAAGCTGCTGTAAGCGATTTTCAAGTTGTTGGGGGTGGAGAGAAGGATTTCATTTCCATTTTTTTAGTCATGAGGAGGAAACCTATCGAAATTTGGAATAGTGTAGACCTAAATCTGTTCTCTGTTCTCAAGTATTCCAGTTTTATTAACCAGGAAATAAAATAAAGGCCCAAATGTAGTCCAATAAATGAATAACAAAATGAAAATTAACCAACTGGTGCAGTTAAGAGAGCATTATAATCTGATAATCTCTCTGTAGCGGTGGGTGGGTTAAAGAATGGTTGAAACTGTGTGCTTTAGATCATAAGGTCTGTCATTGAGTCAAATGGTGTGGTTTTGGGTCGCCTGTCCAACCTCGTGGGTTTTCACTAGGCCCCCGCCCCCACTGCTAAAGACCCCTACGTGCAAGTTAATCATTGAAATAAAATTGAAGAGTGAAGACCTAGTTTGTGTGAGTTGACCTTTAAACTCGCTCTCTCCCTAATTAAACTGAAGCCCTGCTTGTATTTCCACAACCTGTTTCTCTCATATTAGCTTGTTTTGTATTATTATTATATATATTATAGTTTCACATAAATGTATCTTCTGGGGTTTATAGATTTCCTTATAGTCCAACCTTCCACGATGGGTTGTATGTTCAATCTTGTTGGGGGTGTAAGATTCAACGTGCAATAATCCAATAACTCACTTCTTCTTGGTATAATCTTATATTCTGTAACAATACTTAAACAATAATAATATATATACAATAATGATCCACAGGCTAGGTAACAGCATCTAATAAATAATTTCTCAGAGATCTGCCCTTCAGTCCTGCTGCCTGCCTGTGGTCAAAGCCTAATCAAGTCAACTCAGTAATTATGTTAGAAAGACATTGTTTCATAAATTATTATCTATTGTCCAGTTAATCCAGTAGATATTAATGTAGTAATGTATTAATATCTACTGGATTAAATAGACAATAGATAATAATAGAAAACAAAATGTCTCTCTAATATAATTACAGAGTTGACTTTGATTATATGGTTCAGGCTAATCTGTAATGGCTGGGACTGCAATTTAACTATGTTCTAATTCTACTTGGTCATAAATGCCCTTTAACAAAGATCTTCTACTATAGTTTGATGGATGTAAGTTAAAGGAGAAATGCAACCTTTATAGATATTTATGCTTTATTGATTGAGAAGATTGTAGGCTATTTATAAACAATGTGAATACTAGATAATGAATAAGGCAGGGACTGGAGTAGGCCTACTAATGTTGGACTGATAGTGATAATTTTAAGTACTTGTTGATAACAATAAATATTATGTGTGATCAACAATGTCTACATCACATAACTGTGTTAACATACTATGTAACAAAGTTTAATATATCATAGTTTGTTGTGGTGTCCTATTGTTTTAGGGATTAGTAAGATTTATTGTCCAGATAGGCTATAATTATGGAGAGAGACTGGTGTAGAAGTCAGTTTAGTGAATATTAGTCTTTCATCAGAAAGCTAGCACAAGTCACAAAGTACTATCAACCCGGATAATAAAAAAGTGGAAATGATGCAAAAGGGGTTGCATCACCTGAAACAATTTGAAGAATAAACCACCTCTCATGTCAGTCTGATTAAAAACACAGATACTATTTCCTTTTGTTTTTTATAGTTCAAAATTTCGTTTTACTTGTCTTTACTACACTAGGATCTGGAACAGTTGCTATATAATCCGCGTTCTGGATGATGTGAGGAATTAGCCAATGAAATGGTCTGTTATGCCAAATTTTTGGCGTGAAGTGCACAGAACTGTGGGTAACCCACTAAAAAACATCAACGTTGATTGGTTAATCAAGTGTCTGACATCATAGGGTCAAAAGCCACTCATATGACCCCTGATGCTACCTTCCACTACAACCGGTTAGATCTTCATGTAATGTAGGCCATCGAAAGTATAAAAATGAAACAAAATATAGATCTGTATTTTAATCAGATTGATTTTATTGTATTTTATATTCATGGTTTAAACATACATTATGCAAGATCTAAATCTGTCTATTGCAGGTCTTTCTTTAGGCCTGAAATGTTATCTAAATTATTAATTAGACATTAATTAACTTATCCAGACCATAATCAACTCTAGATGGCATCGCTAGCCTGCGATCTTAAGTGGATTGTGAGCCGATTTACTGCATAACTTTCCTTCTCAATTAAACGATTAAATAGATAATCGAGACTATGCTGTTTATCGTACTGACTTTAGTAATGATGACCGAGGCTAGGCAGAAATTTCATTCGCTTAGTTCTCGGTTCATAGTGGATCAATTAGAATGAAATTTTCTGAAAATTGCCTTTACGTTATCGAATCTCCCATAATGTATCTTTAAATATTTTGGATTTATTCATTTCAGATATTTGAAGAAAATGGCCACCATTGTCAAGAATCAGGAACCATTAATGGTATTCGCAGCGCTGTCAGATATACAGTATGGGGATATGGATGATGGCTATAATTTCAAAAAAACCGGGAAAAGATATTACAGAAATGCTTTAGTCTTTCAGAAACAGGTTATCGAGCAATGGAAAAACATGACACCTGAAGTCAAGTTTATTCTTCAACTTGGGGATATTATAGACGGTTTTAACAAGCGTCACGGAATATCAGAGTCATCGTTACAGAAAACCTTGGATGTATTTGGTGATTTTAAGACCTATCATGTCATTGGTAATCATGAACTGTACAATTTTGACCGAGCTGCCTTAATGAAGACACCTCTGTTTTCGGCAGGCTTGCCTGAATGTAAATCGAGTATAGCCTCGACCAACCAGTTTTATTATTCATTTCTACCTGACGCTTCCCTTAGAATAATAGCTATTGACACATATGAGATAGCAGAAATTGGGTGGCCAGAATCAAGTACGAACTATCAAGAAGCAATGAAATATTTAGAGAATAACATCAACGAAGATAAGAACTCTTGTGCAAATATGACTGGTACTGATCGAAGGTTCGCGAGATTCAATGGAGGTGTGAGCTCTACCCAGTTAAAATGGTTAAATCAGTTATTAGAAGAATGTGATAAAAAGAAAGAAAATGTTATTATTATAGGTAATATAATTTTGTAATCTCAACTTAAATAATGTCTTGTCTCTGTGACTGAAAGGGCGGTGTCTCAATGAGTATTGTGCTGCCTCACTAACGTTTAGTTGTTCAGGTCCGCCTTTGTACTCTTTGATGTGCAGTTAAAAGAACCCTTTACAGTTGGAATTTGATGAAAAGTGAATGCTGCTGTTTGTCCGGTTAGTGCAGAACTGTAGGAATTTAAGTTCTTATCTTATTGACTGAGGCTACATTTTAATTCCTTTTATTCGATTAAAAACCATTACTTGTATTCTTTAAATTAGGAAATGGTGCACAAGCATCCTATACAAAATTCTTGGTATAGTAATTTAGGGTAACGGATAACCCTATCTATATTAGTTGAAGAAATCATAGGCAATACAGTTCTAAATAACAGGATACTAAAAGATACCAAGATCTTCACAGTTAAAGGGAGATAACACCATTATACCTTTAGCGAATCTGATGCCATAAAATTTAGAATTAGGCTTATCTATTTAATACTTCAATTCAGTTTATTTTCGTTCCGTCAGGTGATTTTGTATTTCTGATAGAAGACAAGGGTCTGTTGCCAAGGAAAATAGCTGCTTTTAATAGCTGGTCACATGACACATTTGAGATATTGATCATTGGGTAAAATTTCGCCTAAGATCTGATTGCTGCTGTTCAGTCCAGTCAAATTAGCAAAGTATGATGAGATAACTAATACTACTGTTTGGTGTATATATAATTTTAAACATTGCTTACTTTCAATTTTTGTTTTTAGGTCATCTGCCTATACATCCATCAGCTGCAGCTGTTGAATGTTTATGTTGGAACTATGAAGAAATACTATCTATACTATATAACCATGATTGTGTTATATCTTATATGGCTGGTCATGATCATGTTGGTGGAAGTGGTATAGATGAACATCATATACAGCATATAACCATACCAGCTATATTAGAAACACCACCAGATCGAGATCCACCTATGGCGACTCTATCTTTATATAATGATATATTACATATAGATGGTCAATATCTCCTAGATAATTACGATATTAAATTAAAGTTTCCGATCGTGTAGGTAGATGGATAATATTTACTAGATAATTACGATAAGTTTCCAGTCAAATATTTAGAGAGACCATTACCTTAATAAGGCCATACAAAAATTGTGATATACTTGAATAAAGTAATTAAATATACCAGGACCTCAATAATAAGTTAATTAAGAATAGTCTTTTAAACTTTTGGGATATATTGCGTCTTAAAATATACAGATGTGATGTCATCCTTTGATGGTGGCATACCATTATTTGAAATAATGGTACGGGCAACATGCCAATCGTACATTATTTATACAAGATGAAATATTGGACTCGCATGGCGATTTCATCAAAATACACATGCGAGATAGTTTCTGTATTCTAAGTTGTTTAATGGTACCGAGCAAGACATTGTGTAATACTCGAACTGACGTTCTCGTACAGTATCCATATATTACTTAATGTCCCACTCTCGACGAGTAAACCATACATATACTTCTGCACCTTAGGTACTAAACATCCGCTCACATCGAACAGAATAATCAGGGAAACTGATTATGTTGTCAAACTTAGTTCTTATATATGCATTGTATTTAAAGTACATTTGAAATTCTTTATTTAAATTAATATTTTATTTCCATTAAATATTGTCTATTGATGTCGTAAATTTTGTTGATCAGGTTTCAAAAGTAACCATTGAGACGACGTAACTGTTGTCAAGTGCCATTCTCAAAAGCATGATTTAATAGATTTTAAAAGATTCTGTAATTAAGTACCCTTGTACTAGTCCATTAAATGAAAGAAATGGGGTTTAACGCCCTACTGCTTTGCACCAATTGGCCTGATGAAGATGAGCATACGCCATACAGTGTGCTATGAGTGGAATTTGGCCTGGAGAGCTGCATTACGTCCTACTCTAATTTCGAATTCCATCAATAAATGGTTATTTTATGTACATTGAAATTTATACACAGGACCTTTGTTTTTCATACCTTCCGAAACTAGTCCATTAAAAAATATATCATAAATTAAATTTAAAATTTATTTTATTATAAAAGGTGTATATTTACAGTATCATAATTTAATTTATATTATATATCTACATGTACTATGTTTCATCAAAACAAAAAAAATTCAAATTATCATCATCAACATCCTGTGTGTCGAGAGTTGTTTTTTGTTTTAATTTATCCTGTGCTTGTTTTAATTCTTTTTTCTGTTGTTTTTTTAGTTCTTTTTCTAGTTGTTTATCTGGAGAATTAATCATTTCTTTGTAGTTTGTAAAAAATCTGAAGAAAAAAAATGTTTGTAATTCGACTAACTTGACTTTATTTTATAAAATATAACCAATTTGAACATATCATATAATTGTTATCTGTGGTGCAGTCCTCCTGTTCCTACCATTAGAAGATAAATTCACCTCAAATAAGGTAAAGTCGAAAAATTTCAACACTTTCATCCTAATGAATTAACATTGAAATTGGGTTGGTGGGTTGAACACTGAGGATTCATCCTGATGAATTAACATTGAAATTGGGTTGGTGGGTTGAACACTGAGGATTGGGTGGCCGAAGAGTTAATGTATGCACATTGGATCAGAAGGTCTGTCATTGAGTCAAGTGGCGTGGTTTCGATTCCCCACTTGTATGTGATAAGAAGTAGGGTCGCCTGTCCATTCTCCGGGTCTTACGGTTTTCTCCCACAGCTAAAAATTTCAATTATTGAAATAAAATTGAACCATATGTTAGTTCCAAAATGATCTAGTTTGTGTTGAGTGGACATTAAACCCCATTTATAAGAAAGGGGGGATAGAAAATGATCAATTATATGTTATTTGTCTTAAACTCACATCAAAATCCAACTGTGACAACATTTTCTTCCCCTGTCAGCGCGGGTGTACTGGTCTATTGTGACCTATCCACAGGTTGTTCATTTGGACACAAATGTTAAATTTTGCAAAGGTCCCTAATTCTTACTTTAATTTTTATAATTTTTACTTTACATGTATTTTGTATCGAATTAATCCATCATGGAATTTATTAATTGTATTAAATATATTTTTAAAAATTGACTTAATTAATTTTTATTAAAAGTTTTGATTTTGGTATCCACTAAATTTTCCTGTTAAAACAAGACCATTCATTTGTTCTTATTATAATTTTTGGCATGTTAAATCCATTGTACATTCACACCATTGTACCAGGTATCTAAATTTAGAGGTTATTCTTTGATAGATAATTGATCAAACCTTTCTATTCTGTTAAAATTCTCTTCCAGTTTCTCATTAGCACATTTAACTAGAAAATCTATATACTGAAATAAATAACAATATATATATATTAATAATGTGATAAAAACACAACAGTGCTGACCCATTTCTTATCTTGATATTAAACACACATTATGCAAGAGCTAAATCTGCCTATTGCAGGTCTATCTTTAGGCCTGAAATGTTATCTAATTAATAATTAGATATTAATTAATTTATCCAGACCATAACCAACTCTTGATGGCATCACTTGTCTGCAATATTTACTGGATTAGGATCCCTTTTGCAGCTTTTGATTAAATCAAAAAATGGATAATCGAGACTGTGTTTTTTATCATACCGACTTTAGTAATGATGATCGAGGCTAGGCCGAAAATTCAATCGCTGAAATCTCGGTTCAGAGTGGATCAATTTGACTGAAATTTTCAGCAAATTCCCTTTACAATATCTAGTTTTTAACTATTACAGTGAGAACTGCCAGCTCTTTATCTAATCCCCCATAATGTTTCTTTAAGCGAACCTCTCAAATAATTAACACATGACATACATGTAAATATATGGAATACAGGTTAGTTAGACGTATATTTCTGGTGACATTTCGACAAGGGTTCTCTTGTCTCTGCCAAGCAATAAGTAATTGTGTGGGACCCATGGATCTGTGCATACATGTAGTCTGTATTGGGGGTTTTGATTGACAGACATGAAATTGAATGACACTGAATCAAGTTGTATTCGACTAGATGCAGAGTTAGCTTCATAACTGATTTCCACAGAATTCAATCTAGTATAGAAACTAAGGTGGGAAATCCATTAAAGGGGATATTAACTTATTTTAAAGTAGCTAAAATGCATGCATGATGATCTAACATTTACTGGTATTCAAGAAAACAGAGCCAAATGAAGGCGGGCATACGCCATGCAGTGTGCTATGAGAACAGATTTCCAACTCCCAAGTACACATTGGTGTGCATGTAAAAGATCTCTTGGCAGTTGGAATTCGATATAAAAGTAGGCCCTAGGGCCGCTGTCTGGGCAAAATAGCTCTCATCAGGGAAGAATAGTAGGATGTTTCATATCATTTTGAATCATTTGTGGACTCATATTTAGAAATCTAAATAATAGTACAACCTAACGTCTCTTTTAGGGTAAAATTTCTCTCATAGAGATGTGGTTTAACGTCCACTGAACACAAACTAGGTCATTTTGGGATTAACATATGGTCCAATTTTATTTCAATAATTCGCTTGCGCTAGGGGTCTTTAGCAGTGGGAGGAAACCGGAGGACCTGGAGAAAATCTACTCCTTGTCACATACAACCAGGGAATCGAAACCACGCCACTTGACTCAATGACAGATTCTATGATACATAAAATAAACTCTGATATAAATTATTTACCTGATCAGAAACTAAAATATTTCCATTATCAGACAGAGGAACTTCCATAGAATGAGTACTTCTTACAGCCTGATAAAAAAAGAGACAATAAACTAAATCAGAGAGACATTGTTAATCTTTTCTTTAATTTGTTGAGATTTGATTATGCCAATAAAGGTACATAATTAAGGGGTGTGCATATTACCTTGCATTGCAAAATTTTGGCCAATCAATCACTGGAATAATAACACCTCCTAGTCTCAGTGATTTATTCTACAAAGGCTAATCCTTGCATTTATCATAATTGAAAATAATGTGGGGTTCAAATTAACAATAATTAGGCGAGTTGGTATAGTTATTTTGAAAATGAAAAATAAAATGAATAACATTTATTTTCTGGTTGAGAGTGATAACACTAAACTGGGGCCTTATTTATCTAAACTTAAATTAAAGTATTTAAAGAAAAGAGCTTTCTCAGTGGATAAGAGCTCAAAACAGTGCTATGATTTAATGCTTGGTATAATGAATGTTCTAAATCAGGGGTGTCAAACATGGGGCCTATGGACCAGATCTGGCCAGCCAAGGGTTTAAATGTGGCCCATAGAACAAATTTCAACAAACTGATGTGTCGATAATTCTTAGAACTAGCTGTGGAAATTATTTATTATTGTTTTCCGATTTCAGTAAAGCTCTGATTTCTGTACTATATGTCATAGATACCTAAGCGGTACAAAGCTGGCTAATTTAGTCCATTTCAAAGTATTGTATTGCATTATTATATTGAACAATTTAAGTCAAATAAATCAATAAAATTTTCTTGATCTTGATATTTTTGCATATCTCCGGCCGAATTGATGTAAAAATTTTAGTTCATGTGACCCCTGAATCGAAATGAGTTTGACACCCCTGTTCTAAATGGTACCTAATAGACAGGATAAATGTTTAAAGCTGCTGTTCATCACAGTAGGTAGTATCTAATCTTTCACAGCTTAATTCACAAACTATAGACAGCTGAGAATAAACAATACAACACTGCAAGTACAGTTAAATACATTCCCAAGTATACAATTTAAATATTTCAATCCGTATAAATAAAATACTAACTGTAATTATCTTTCCTTTGGTTCCAACTGTTATACCTGAGTTTCTAAAACCTGATGCAACAGCTACAGAATGCTAAAAGAAGAAAAAGTTGATTATACATGTACATGTAGATCAAATATGTGAAAATAACAACAACACAAACTATCCAAAATGTCAAAGAAGAAATGGGGGCAATAATGCAATTAGAATTTTACATGAAATATCTACAAACATCACTTAAATATTTTAAAATATGATTGAGTTACAACTTATAATTCTTACCAATTTTTGTGCATGTTCCAGCAATTTACATTGTACATGGAGAACAAATGGTTCAAATTTGAATACAGCATTACCAGTTGCATTTTTAATACTATCCATCTGAAATAACAAGATACAAAGCGATCAGGACTTTTCATACTTTTGTAATTAAGATTGGAGAAGGGGTCAATGGACCACCAACTAGAATGATTCAACAGAATTTTTAGGGAAAACATGCAAGGTGGATAAGGATAGATTGTGAAGTAACTTGGTAGGGGATGGAAGACCAGGGTCCTACAAAGGAGTAGATTACCTGGTAAAAAAAAATCCTTTGGCAGTTAAATTCTAGATGAACCAGGGTAGGAAACTCTCCACTGATAAAGAATAATTCTAACCATAACTAACCAACAAACAATAAAACAGTACTTGTTGTGGTTTATTTTTCTTATAGTAAATAAAATGAAATTCGAGGATACTGTTATTTATTCACAAAGCATATGTGACTACAGTGACTACAGTCACGATACGATACTTATTGTGATTAGATCAGGTGCTACGATATGATTCGTATCACGATTCATAACCAGGTCAATATAAATGAATAATTGATATTTTTATTCCTGTTGATCTCGAAGAATTATACCACAATATTGATGTGGATCAAAATAAGGAACAAAACAATTTAAGAGTGTTTGTGTACCTATGGATATGTGACGTGGATAATTAAGAGTGAAAGGTTACTTACTGAAGCTACATAAAAAAAGAATCGTGAAAAATCGATTCAGCATCTCACGATTCAATACGCAAATCAAGAGATATATTGTACCAGCACTATATATAAGAACATGTTTAATACTAAATACTTACAACTAGTTCTCCTGTTGCTGATTCATGAGTAGTATACAACCACTTGCATCCTTTCTTCTGCACTACATCATTACTCTATCAAATACAAAAATATATTTTGAAATATATGTGTAAAAAGAGAACTTCAAAAGTAACTGCTGATCAGAATCAAATCTTATGATTAGACAGTTTTCATATTTACCTAATGATATACAGTGTGTCTCAAATTTGTAATATAGTTTCTCACTTGTAATCGAGTTCACCCAAGTTTATCAAAAACCTCTCTCTAGGTTCTAATATAATAATTATAATAAAAAATTACTATCGGAAAAATGCTGCTTTAAACGGTTTTCGCTAAGATTCTCTCTTGCCATTTATACATGTACTGTTGTTAGTAACAATGTTGAAAAGGCCTGTCCACGTTGGCAAGCTGTAACATTTGTACTACTACTCTACTGTTGGTTTCCAAAGACAAGCCCAACCTTGTTAGTGAAAATATTTAATTGTGTAGTTGATTTAAAGCAAAGCAATGAGTTTAGCCAGACAATCGAAAGAGTCACACAAACTGTATACATAATAATAATACGGTATATAGTATTTTAATTTAAATTTACGTTTTCGAACACCATGATTCTTCCTGAACAGGAACTTGTGGTAAAATAATTTTCACTGCCATTTATAAATTTTACAACTTCAGTGATAGGTCCATCTACAGATCCTTTCCTACTCCAATCTATTCCCGACAAACACAGCTCCTTCTGTTTTTGAAACAAAGAATTAGTATCACACATTCTGTAAAAACTTTTCACGTGTGTTTGTTTTGATCAGAAATACCATTTTTATCTTCATAATTAAAGAGTCTTATTTATAGTTCCCTCCCTTGGAACGGACTAACTGTGCGAATAATAGAAGATCAAAAGATTTTTAACTATATTATTTACTATCTGGCGTATATATATTATTATTACTTAGCGTTTCTACCCTTTGTGCATTTATTACAGTTTAAAAAGTAAATTTAGATTTTCAAGAAAGAAACAAATGACTTGATAACAAAAATGAATGACGTAGCTACCTTGACCTAGTTTTAGTATCTCCGCTAGCAGACGACAGCAAAGCGTGCACTCAGGAAGTGCATAGAACTAGGTAGAACAAGAAGACTAATGGATAGAACAACTTTTTAACTTATTACTATTGTACGAAATATATGTGAAAACCCCTCGCTTGCCTATAAAAATAATATTATGTTTCTTGCAGTGGAAGGACTGATCGAGTGACTATCTTTAGCTAGGCCTACCAAAACTAGATCTAATAAGATTTATTTAGGCCTAGAATTTCGTAGAAGGGAGAAACCTCATCTCGACACATCCACTGTCATCGTAGCTAGGCCTAACAAAAGCATTGGACTTGCACTTGACTTTGCAGGCAGCTTGATCTTAACTTGAACATGAATTAAATTAAAATTTATTCTAGATAATGTGTGTTAAGTGGGCACTTTTTATCATCTTGCACTGTCCTCGGTGACTTTGATTTTGTTAATGTTATTTATATTAATGTCAATGTCAATGAGATGGAAAGAGTATGAAATTATGTATATGTAGGGTAGATAGGCTAAGCAGGTTGCATGCATAGGTAGGCCATAAATTGATGCATTAATTTTAATATTTTAATTATTTATTTCTACTTGTCTTGTAGGTTTAAAAAACGAATTCAAAGTTCTGTGGAGTTTTTGTAAAATCAGTGCTGTTAAAATGCAGATGCAGCAGCCGCAGCAGCAACCTGTATTTAAACCGCTGAATTCTTCAGAGGGATCAACAAGTGTCTTTTCCTTTGATGTAAGCATTCCTTCAAGCTACATACTATTATTATTGCCAACCATCTCCACTCTCCAGATCATAAACCATATCCATTTCTTCTTATTCAATAAACAACAATTATTGTTCTTTGTGATGTTCAATTATATATATCTACTTATCAATTCTATTTCAGTCTTCCAGATCCAGAACATGTCAAAATGATAATGCAACTTTTCAAATAGCAAGACCAAATGGTAATATAATAAATTTTGAATATTTAGGCCTACATTAATTTTAATTACAAATTAACATAGAATTTTGTCAGATTAATGGAAATTTTATCTAGGCTATATTATTATTCAAGGGCATCAATTAAGAGTTGAATTGATAGAAACCTGAATTGCCTGAATGTCAAAAGGAATTGTATAAGCTTACATGAGTTTTTGTGAACAGATATTAAGTGATCAGTACATCAGTAGCCTACAATCAAGTGCCACAAACATATTTTGTCATCTTTTTCATTTTTCAAAAAAATGACTTATTTTCAGAAATGCAGTCCCAAGCACCGAAAATATCCCAGCAAAAGGAACAAAACGTTGGACAAGAGAGATTATCATCTTTGCATGCTAAACTTCATCAAGAAGCAGATAAAATTCGGAAATGGAAAGTTCAGTCAGAAATTGAACTGAAACATAAGGTTTGTGCACTTTAATATAATCACCAGTCAGTAAAATCAAAGTAAAAATAATAGCCCCTTGTTTTTATACATCACTTTTCATGAAGGAGAACTAGCTTATATGGTTCTCACAGAACCTTATGACACCCTACAGACATGGGATAGTAATTTTTTAAATTGTTTTTTAAAGTTTCCTGGGATTGTTCTCCCAAAATTTTGGGAACCAATTGCTGATGTCATATGAACCTTAAAAAGATGGAGATTTTAGAATGCAGTAATTTGATTGCTTCTTTCCTACTTTTTGACTTCCTTTAAAAAGCTTACAATATTTTAAATACCTGACAATGCTATTTAATTACATTTAAAAGGAAAAGAAAATCCAGGAAGCAAGTACAACTGTTGAGGCTTTGAGAAAGTCAATTTTGGAGCTGCAGGTAGGTTAGGCTATACTTTGTTTTGGACTTCAAGAAGTAAATCGTATGTCATGGATATATTTGAAGGACAATGCAATACAAGCTTTGAAATAAAATGAAATGGGGTTTAACGTCCTACTGTTCTGCTCCGATTGAGCTAATGAAGACAGGCATATGCATGGGTGTGGACTTAGGGGGGGATGGGGGGGTCAGATTTTCAGGTTTATATCCACATGATTGTGAGCTTGTTTCTGCATATCTGGACTAAATCGGGACTTGGAACAAGAATAGCCATTCTTCAAGCATCAGTTTTCGGCCAAATCTATTTCAAGTGTGCACGAAGCGTTCCTCATTATGTTCCCGTCTGTCGAAGCTCTTCTCATCTCACACTGCTGGACCCTGCTAGTTCCTGCTCAGCCGAGCGATCCTTCAGCCCTCTGCGCCGTATCAAACCTTGGCTGTGCAACTCCATAGCGCAAAACCGACTGAACCACTTGATGGCATGTGCGGTGCATAAAGACCCCCTTCATGTCGCCAAGATATTCAAAGAGAATAGTCCTGATCGTAGAACGAACGTCAGAACGTCTTTGGACGATTCACTTAACTTCATGAACAATTAATATTTATGCAGCTTTGATGTAGGTAGTCAATTTTTCCATATTATCGTAACACTGGTACAGTAAACTGTTCGTAATTATTTATTTTGTTTGGTAATGAAATGTTCCAGGTTCCAGGGTTCGTCCGTCCCCCCATCCCCCCCCCAAAAAGTTATGACAAATCCACGCCCTTGGTCATATGCCATGCACACAAAGTGCTATGAGGGAAATTTTGCTCGGACAGCAGTGCTAAGACCTCTTATCTCGAATTCCAACTGCCAAGGGATCTTTTACGTGCACTCCAATGTGTACACGGGGACTCGTTTTATTGTCACATTTGAATGACTAGACAGCTGTCCTTCTCAGGCCCCCAATCCTACACCACTGACAAGGGGATACCACACTGGAAAATCCAAATGAACTTTCTCAGCCAACACCGGGAGCAATCCTGCGACCTCCAGTCTAGCGAGCCAGCACCTTACCCACTTAGCCTCAGTTGCTCCCAGCCTTGAAATAAGACAATTTCAGGCACATATTCAGGCAATGTCAGGTACTGGTTTATTGTAACAGAGATCTGGAAGTCTGGAAGACTTGCTTTTTCTGACAAACCAACAGAAATATCCATTTTGTAAGATCCAAAATTTCCAGAATGTTTGAGAATCACTAAAGGTCCCTTGGAATGTCTAATTGCACAAAAGTTTATTTTGCGTATAATTGGTCTAGATACACTAATAAATATATGTGTAATTTTAATAAGACATTAATAAATGAACAACAATCATGCTTAAAGTGCAAATGAATTGTACAGTTAGATTTTTAGATTTGTATTGCTTGAACATAATATGCATATAATTACAGCTACAGAATGAAAACTTGAGCTTGAAATTAAAAGAGGAAATGGACCATAGAGAAGATATTTTAAACAAGTAATTAAAAGCATAGTGTAATAGAATAAGTGAAATACATAGTCAAAAAAGTTTCCAGATAACCTAAAATTTGTGATGACATGAACAAATTGTATTTGTAATATTTCAGATATTTTTTAATAATGAGGTTAAGTGATGTAGTGGTCTAGTCTAACTAAACTGTTGTTGTAAAAGTTTCCAGATAACCTAAAATTTCTGATAACATGAATTTTAGATATTGTTTAATTATGAGATTGAGTGATGTAGCGGTCTAAAACATTGTGTCACCAATTCTGTTCATGGTACAATACTTGTAAGAACAGGAATCTATTGTGAGATTTTGTTGTTTTCAATTCTTCTTCTAAAAAAGGCCCTGCATGCAAGCAAACAAATGAATTAAAAAAAATACTATACATGTTAGTCCTAAAATCACCTACTTGATCTATGAAACTTTTTTTGCTGAATTTCAGGATCCACTGTACAAGGGATCTCTGCAACATATTGAAAAATCACACCACACAAATGGAAGAAAAACTTGAACACTGTAAGTTATGTTCTATTCGATTGGTGTTTGTTTTGTATCTATTCTTTCTTTATGAACTATATAAGCAGTTGCTGAAAACCTGACTGGGGAAGCGAAATAAAATTGAATAAATTAATATCAAATTATTTTAGGTGAAACTGAAAAAACAGAATTAAAATATCTTGGAAAAGAACATCAAGAGCAATTTGAGGTAAATTACAGGATTTATTTATTTATTTATTTTTTTGTATTTTTTTGCACTACGAAATGTCCATTATAAAATAAAAGTAAATTTTTTTTTAAAAAAATGACCATTATAATAAATATAAAAAGTAGAAAATATTTGTTAATGTGTTGTTTGATAATTAACCATTGATTTGATTATAATCTTCTTTTTTTTTAAAAGGAACTATCTAAGCAGTTTCAAAAACTAGAACTTTCTTCAGTGGAGAATCATAACAAACTTATGAACCAGTGTAAGCTTCTATTTTAAATTCTATTGAATTTTGACAAATATTCTTTATATAACCTGGAAAACATTGAATAATGGATACATTTGTCTCCAGATCGAAGAAACGGCTATAGAGAAAAATACAAGTAATATATTCAGTAAACATAAGGGGGGGCATTAGAATAATCATAACAACATTACACTAGCTCTAAAATACATGTAGTGAGAGCCTAGATATTTCATAATTACAGTATGTTATCAGTATACTGTTTAAATGACATTTAGTAATTAAACACATTAAATTAAACACAAAAGTTCTATGGAAAACAATTACTGCATTTTTAATCAGAGAATCAATGTCAAAACAGCTCTGTGCATATTATGTAATCGTCTTCCATAGAACTCTTGTATTTAATGTTTATCAGATCTGTGATTTATGCAATACTACATGTACTTTAACTATTTGACAGTAAATCTAGAAAGAGATGATAGAGTTAAAGTGGAGAAAGATATGGAAGACAAGCTATCTAATGCAGAGGAAGATGTAAGTGAACTATTGTTATTGTGTGGGGGTTTTCTTTTCAAAGGGGAGTGAGGGACACTTCCCTTAGTATTAGTAGTAAGTAATTAGGTGAAGTAGTATTTTCATTTCCCTACAGTTTTAATTTATTCTCAGTCAAATTTTAAGGTTTTTCTTATTAAATTTAATAATTCCATTCCAGCTGAAGGATTTAATAGACCAGTGTGATGAAAAGGACATTGAAATAAGAGAGGTTCGTTCAAGACTTCAAAAGAATGATGAAACAATTCACAGTTACCAACAAGATATTGGTAAGTCATGAATTATCGTACCACAAGCTTAACCCAACTTCCTGCAATATGCCTTTATAGACAGGGTTGTCGAGCCATCCCCAATTTTTTTTAATGAAACTTCATATGTGACTATATATTAGTTCTTGGATGACTTCGAAATTGTCAATTATTCAACGAGTCATCACCCTTGCCATATAGTAAAAATGTGAGGTACGTTAAAAATAACTTGTGAATGCATTAGATTCTTCATTTAAACAATTTTGATGAAACTTGGAATGGCTAAATAGTAAAGAGATCAAAGACGGGTTCAAATTTGAACAAGATTCATCAATCATTTGCAGAGTATATCTGCATGTCCTTGATACAGTGAAAACATGTTAAAAAGTGAATGCAATATAACCTAAATTGTAAATCTGACATAATTCTAATATTTAGCTTCATATCCAGAAGCAGAAGATTGAATTTGAATGAGATTTGTCCATCAGTCATGAAGTAATTGCCCTTCATAATGATTGCATTACAGTCTATATTTTAACTCTATTCCTTACAGAATACAGCAAACAAAAAGTAGAGAATTTAAATACAGAATTATCTGAAAAGGACATTAAATTGCAAGGACTTTTTGATGAACTGAATGCAAATTTGGTAAGATAAATGTTTTAGAACATAAGATTTATCAGAGTATTTGAGAGACAAAAGCTATAACAGCTTTACTTCACCAAATTGTTATGATGGTGATATTAGTTTTTTTCTCATTCAGAAAGTACAATCACAGATTACAGTAATATCTTTCTTTTCTAGTTTAATCATTTACTGCTATATAATCTTAGTATAAATATTTAGTAATGAAATATTTCTGTTCAAATATCTTTTATTATCAAAATTTCATCTTTTGGAAACATTTTGAATCTGATACATATTGGAAATTAATGGATTTATTTTTACCCAGTAAAATTGAAAAACAGATATCGCAGAGCATTTAGTCCTACTATTAAAGTGAATTCATTCTGTATAATCTATGTTATTTTATTATGTACCAGGAGGAGAAGAATGTGTTGGAGATTAAGATAAATAACATAGAAATAGAGCTAGAAGACAGTAAATCTACCATTGATAAAATGGAACAAACAATGTCATCCAACCAAACTAAGTTTGATACAAGTATTGATGTACTACAGAGAGAATTAGAATCCGCTAGATTACAACTAGAGCAGACCAAACTACTGTAAGTCTTTTTTTTATATATACTAAGTTTAAAACAATTTGCATCGCGGTATTGTGGTTAAATATAACATGAGAAAAATTAGTAACCTTTAAATCGCAACTTGGACATCAAGCTCTTGGGTATAGTATAAACTGATGTAAAAAAAACAAAAAAACTGATGGTATGGACATGGATACTAAGTACATGGGGCCATGTTAATGTCTAAAAACAATTTTTTGGTAAAAAAAAAAAAGTCAAAGACCAAAGTTTGTATAATCTGAGATCCTATACAAATATCTCAATCTCAGTAACCAGAAATTGGAAACAAATTTTTGAAGTGAAAAATGTTGAAAGACTAATTGCTATGGAGACAGTACGTCAATTAAATACGAAAACTATTTTTAGGCTGAAAGAAATGGAAGTTAAAATGGCAGAAGGAGTTTCAATATGTGAAAATTTAAAAAGTTCCAGGGGTAATTCTTTTTTCATTTAACTCTCTTGGATTTAATATCCCTGATTAATATCAGAAAACATGACATACCTGAATTTGACATTTTTGTTCAAAATTACACTTAAGTGTGACCTGACATTGACAAAGAAATATAAATAAATAGAAGTACATTTTTATTATTTTTTTAAATTGTCTTTGGATACATTGGTGACTGAAAAATAGATTGTAATTATTATTATTTCTTTTCAGATGTCCTGATCATGGAAAAGTCAGAATTAGAAGCTAGAATTTCTCAACAAGAAAATACTTTGGTTTTTCAATTTCAATACATTTTTAAAAATTTACTTCAATAATTTTGTGTATAAGATTGATAAATGAAATGAAATGACGTTAACGTCCTACTTTTCTTCATCTGGTCTATACACAGATCACAATTCTATGGAATACACTGTCTATTACTGACAGACATTTCGACTGGGCATTTCAAGCCTTTCCTTGATAAACAGTAAATGTATTCCATACACGAACATACACACAGACATCTTTGATATTATTTATATAAATCAGATGAATGTATGGTATAACTTGACTCAGTGTGTAAAGTTCTGGTGCACTAAACTGGGGGACTGGGGGTCTCAGTTTCAATTCCAGTATTGGCTGAGAAAGTTTCTCATGATTTTCCAGGGTAGTGTCCCCTTGTCGGTGGTGCAGGACGGAGGGCCTGACAAGGAACAGTGTCTAGTTTTTAAGATGGGATGAAAAAATGAGGTAGCATGCATGTGAAAGACCCCTTAAAAGTTGGAATTTCAATTGAGTTCCAGGCAAAATTTATCTCATAGCACACACTGCATGGCATATGCCCATAGAAAAGTAGGAGGTTAAACCTCATTTCATTCATATATAACTTGACAACATACACATATGTATATCGTGAAGATTTTTAAGTTAATTTTATTTCCAGGAAAACATTCAGGCTGAAAGAGACAGTATGAGAGAAGAATTACACAGATTACAAACTCAGCTAAATCTGACTACAACTGAAATTGCAGAAAAATGCACAATATTTGAGGAGTTACAAGTAAGACCATTATATTTGAAAACAAGTAATCAATAGCAATTAAAATCTTCCCTCAAATAGTTTTCTATTCTGGTGATGACCCTCAGTTTCATTTATGAGGAATATTAAAATGGATGACTTAAAGTTTAACATGTTGGTTTTGGTTTTTTTTTTAAATTCAGGCTGTTAACAGGAATCTTCAGGATAGAATCAATGACTATGAAATATCATCAAAAATCATGGAGAACACCATACAGACACAAAAGAAACATTTAGATTGTAGAGAAGTAATTCATTTCTATCAAAATAATAAAGTGCCATGCACATGTTGTTTAAAATATCCCCTGTTATTAGCGCTTGTTATTAGCCCCTGTTAACAGTTGATAAAGGGCTACCGCCCGAAATGCCTCCTGCCTCTAATAGATTGCTCCCTTCTTGCCCGTGCTGTATCAATGAGATCCATGCTGATCTGCACTGTTCCAGGGATTCTTTCAACCACTACGGTACTTTTATTATGAGTAAGGAGTTAACTGGTCACAGTCGTGGAATTGTTTAAAATACCTGTTCATTAATATCAATAATGTTAATAAATATAGAGAAAGTCCGCCTTGTTTAAACTTAGAAGTATGTGGTGTGCTATTTCTGTGAAGTTCAAATGATTTGTTCACAAAACATTATATCACATGTAATATAATTAGGTTGAGATGCTACACCAAGCCTGTTCCTTATATATTACATTGTTGGGAGCCACGGTAGCTCAGTGAGTAAGACACTAGCTTGCTAACCATAAAGTTTCAGGTTTATTGTCAGTGCTGGCAGAGAAAGTTCCACAGGATTTTCTGGCATGGTTTCCCCATGTCAGTGGTGTGGGATGGAGACCCTGACAAGGAACAGGGTCTAGCACTTCAGATGGGATGAAAAACCTAGGTCCCGTGATTCCAAATAATAGTAGGCTGTAGTGTCGCTCTCGGTACAAAATTTTCCCATAGCACGCTGCATGGTGTATGCCCGTCTTCAATAGCCCAGTTGGTGCAGGAAAGTAGGATCTTAAACTTCATTCCCGTAACAAACCATTTTCGAGTTTCTTCATTCTTTTTTCTTTTTTTTTTTGTAGGAAGTAATTAGTGAAGGAATAGTGAAAGAAGAAGAATATATTTATAAACTTAAAGAAATAAATATGGAAACAGAAAAACTTCAACAGAAATTGAATAAAGAATGGTTTGTATAGGATTCACAACACAAAACTAGAACCAAAAAATATTAAATGAATAAAAAAAAATGCTGTTTCAATTAGATATAAAACCCAATACCAATGATGTCTTATATTTTATACAGTGATATAAATGAGGAACTAAAAAAGAGTTTGAAAGAAACTAAAACAGAAGAGCAAAGTAAAGAAAAGGATCTCATTGTCAAGGAAAAGGAAATCAATAAACTGAAGAAAGAATTGGAGGTATGTTTTGTTTTTGTAAGATATGTTTTATTCACCATAAATGAATGGGAGATTGGGGAACTAGCAAAATGCTCCACAAAAGTGTTAATCAAAAAATGAAAATGTTATTCATTAATTTTCATAAAATTTTCTTGATCTTGATAGACTTCATTTACTATTAAAGATACATTATGGGAGATTCGATAACGAATTGGCAGTTCTCACAATAATAGTTAAAAACTAGATAATGTAAAGGCAATTTGCTGAAAATTTTCATTCAAATTGATCCTACTAAAGTCAGTACGATAAACAGCATAGTTATGCAGTAAAGACCTGCAATAGACAGATTTAGCTCTTGCATAATGTATGTTTAACTTTTAAAAAGCACCTTTCATCAATCATTTTCATTTAAGTGCTATCATACAAATCATTTTACATCAATAATTTATCAAAATTACCTATTAAAATACACCTAATTATAAATAATAAAGTAAATATTTCGTTTGTTTGAATTTGCAGAAACAAGACAAAGAAAAACAAAACCTTACAGGAGAAATTGAAATAATTCAAGCGGATTTATCACAACTGAGGTAATTATTGAAATATCAGCATATTGTGTCAGATATTGTCATCTTTCCAACATCTGAGAGCAAAGTGCTGGATCATTAACCAGGCGGTCTGGGGGTTGATCCCAATGTTGGTCGAGAAAGTTTCCCCTGGTGCAGGACAGAGAGCTTGGGAGTGGGAAGGACAGTGTTCTTTTGTTCTGATGGGATGAAAGACTGAGGTCCTGAGTACATGTTGGCATGCAAGTAAAAAAACCCTAGACAGTTGGAATTCAAAATATAAGTAGGCCATAGCACCGCTGTCCTGGCAAAATTTCGCTCATAGCACACTGTATGGTGTATAATATGCCTGACTTCATTAGCCCAGTCGGTGCAGAAAAGTGGGATGTTAAACCCCATTTGATTTCATTTCCAACATCTTGTAATGATTTTGTAGATTTTGTTTTTCGGAGTAACAGGGATTCTTTGTTTGGCATGCAAATTGGGAAAACGATTGTTCAAAAATCACATGTGTTGGTAGTGTTACTGCCGTTGTCATTGAAACTTGGTTAACTGTCATACAGGTGATAGTTTTGGTGATTCAAAATTGCTAGGACTGTTCAAGTACCGTATGTCAGTTGGCATTAGCTTGGCCTATAATGATCATTACTACCCTTGGTCATCAGTGTTGCGGATGATTGTGTTGAATATAGCTTTATACCTTATTTGTTGTCAGTAGTCTGATTTATTGACATGTTAGTCTATTCCAAAGAGCAGTACTATAGACACAACTCCTTATTTCTGCAGTGAGTTAAACCAGAACATTTCTGTAGTGTCAAGCAAGATCAATATGAATATGGGTGGTCTAGTCCTTTCGATATCTCAGCCATCTGATTGTCTAGAGAGTTGATTATAGCCTTGCCATGTGAGTAAATGCTTAAATCAGAATTTATATAACATTTGAAGTCGGAAAAAAGACCTGCTGTAGACAGATTTAGCTCTTACATAATGCTCCTTTTGAAAAATATTAATATGAATTTAAATATTTTATAGGTTAAATCAGGACAGCCTTGAACAGGAAATAATACAACTGACACAGGAAAATGACAGATTACAAAAACAACATGATAAGACAGTGAGTTTAACATCCTTACAATGAAAACTTTAAATATAAACTTTAAATATTCTCTGAATACAATCAATGAAAACTTTAAATATAAACTTTAAATATTCTCTCCATACAATCAATGAAAACTTTAAATATAAACTTTAAATATTCTCTCCATACAATCAATGAAAACTTTAAATATTCTCTCCATACAATCAATGAAGACTTTAAATATTGTTTTAATACTCATTTATTTTGATTTTAAACAGACATTTCATATTCAATCAATGTTAAAATATTATCTATATTATAAATTGAAATTATATGTACATGTATAAACTAAAAGACATTTTTCAAATATTGGGCTTTTCAATGACTAAAATAATTTAGTATTACATTCCTTTGAAATTACAGGACAAAAATTGGAACAATGAAAGAGAGACAAAGACTAAAAAAATGACTGAGCTGGAAAGTAAACAGAAGGAATTGAAAAGTGACATTGTTTCAAAAAATAAACAAATCAAAGAACTTGAGAAGGAGGTATTGAAAGAACAGTTTCAGATTATTTTACACATTGCTGAAAGATGCACATTTATGTTTTTCAATTTTGCAAATTACTCTTAGGTGCCCAAAAGGTGAGGGATCAAAGAAAAGGAGCTAATACTAGAAGTCTATATAGATTTTGTTGGTTTTTTGCTCTACTTGAAAATTGGCTATAAATATATTTATCACTAATCAAGGAACTGAGATGGCTAAGTCACTAAGTGAAAAAGGTGCTGGCTCACTAACCTTGCAAGGAACAGTGTTTAGTTGTTAGTTGTTCAAAATATGTAGGGGGATCACGTGGCTAAGTGGGTAAGGCACTGGCTCGCTAGCCTGGAGGTCGGGTGTTTGATCCCTGCATTGGCCGAGAAAGTTCATCTCGATTTTCCGGCGTGGTTTCCCCTTGTCAGTGATGCAGAACGGAGGGCCTGACAAGGACAGCTGCCTAGTCGTTCGGATGGGATGAAAAACCGAGGTCCCGTGTACACATTGGCGTGCACGTAAAAGATCCCTTGGCAGTTGGAATTCGATAAAAGAGTAGGCCGTAGCGCCGCTGCCCGGGCAAAATTTCCCTCATAGCACACTGTATGGCGTATGCCCGTCTTCAATTAGCCCAGGTTAGGTGCAGAAGAGTAGGACGTTAAACCCCATTTCATTTCATTTCATTTCAAAATATGTAGGCTGTAATGCAGCTGTCCAGACAAAAGTTTACTCATAGCACACTGCATGGCATACACCTGACTTCATTAGCAAGGATGGTAAAGAAGAGTAGGACGTTTAATCTCATTCCATCATTAATCAGTGTATCCATGAATATTCTGTAAGCCTAAAATGATTTCATATTATTTAATAGCTGAAGACCACCAAATCTAAGTTAGCAACACAAACTAAATCAGCTGAAGATTCAACCAATGAAATAGAAAAAATGTCAGAAGAGCTTGAAATGCTGAAGACAATGAAGATTGACCTGGAGGAGAAACTACAAGCAGCCAATAATAATGAAGTCAAAGTTTCATCAAAATTAAGGACAGAGGTATTACTCATTTTTTTTTTTTAGATTAGGATTGCTAATTTAGGAGCTTGCTGTCAAAAATCTTATTTCAATTACTTTTATTTTTTTTTAAAATACATCATCATTTCTTTCCTGGAATTGGTGGCAATGCAGAGTATACACGGCACAAACTTTCTCATTTTGGGACTAACAGATGGTACAAATGTATTTCAATAATTCACTTGCATGTGGAATCTTTAGCAGTTTTAGGAAAACAGAGGACCTGTTGAAAACCCATGAGGTTGGACAGGCGACCCTACTCCTAGGATCAAAATCATGCCACTTAAGACTCTATGACATACCTTATGATCTAAAGCGCATGAGTTTGACCATCAAACCCATCTAATGCAGGAGGAGGGTGGGTGGATGGTGGAATGGTTAGCGTGTGCGCACTGTATCATAAGGTCTGTCATTGAGTCAACTGGCATGGTTTCGATTCCCTGGTTGCATGTGACAAGGAGTATGGTCACCTGTCCAACCTCATGGGTTTTCTTCGGGTCCTGCCGTTTCCTCTCACTGCTAAAGACCTCTATGCACAAGAGAGTTTATATAGGCTTTGCCTGTTCCCCAATCCCCTCAGTTTCTGAATAAATATTGTTTATAAAAAAAGATTATTGAATTAAAATTGAACCATATGTTAGTCCCGAAATGACCTAGTTTGTGTCTAGTGAACTTTAAACCCCATTTCACTCTCCCTTACTCTAATACAGAGCCTATATAAGCCAGTTTTCTAGCCAGTACATGTATAATCTGAGAATATAAAAGAAGGGAGTAGAAGCTCTGATTAAAACTTGAATGTTTAACCCAATTGAAGAAGATATTGTTAGAAAGATAACTGAACACTGAAAAGTGTGATATTAGAATATTGACTGTAAAAGAGATACATTTTTGATTTTAGGGGTTTGGGAGATATGTGCACAAATTGAGGGTGGGGTCAATTTTAAATATATATGGTTTAAAGACCCGAAAAGAAGTCGTCAAAAGAGAAGAGATAACTTGAACAATTTTCAAGGAACATCAACAACCCACTATACATACTATTTTTAACATAAAGTGAAATTAGATTTTTAGGGGTCTTGAGCAGTGGGAGAAAACCTGCAAGATTTGAAAGACAACTTTATTCCGTGTCACGTACAAGTTGACTCAAAGACACGTGTTAAACCATTTGACCCGCACCCCATGTCAATAAGAATTTCATAGCAATTGATTATGACTTGTACATGCCTTTTTTCATAAGATGGCCGATATAAAGAATCAGCTTCACCAAGCAGTAAAAGATAAAAATGATAGTATTGGTCGAAGTGATGCTCAAATTGCTGATATGATGGCTACTCTTCAGAAGTATAAAATGGAAAACCAGAAAATTGTTGATCAGAAAGAGAAAGAGCTTGATTCCCTGAGGACAAAGTTTGATCAGTCATCAAATCTGAAAGAGGTAGGTATAAGTTTGTAAAATATATTACAGATGAATCTCAAGTGTTTTAATACTGGTAGTTTCTAAGGCTTATATAATCTAAGTTTTTTGATCCCATGTTGGTTTAGTATAATGTTTTTATATTCCTAAACAGAAAAACAATAAATTATGTGATGACTTGAAGAAAGAGACAGATGAATTGAAGAAGAAAATAGATGATCTTGAAAAAAAAAAGGTACTGTTAGAAATTAGATTGGAAATCTTTTAAAAATAGATACTTGCTTCGATCACCATTACAATAAATTCATAGATTTTTTATAAACAAATACAATTTCTGAAAAAATCAGGTCACCAAAATTCTATTTTTTATGATGTATTGAAACAACTTGTCATTACTCAATTTCGTTTACTATTTGTAGTATAACAGTTTTTACTGAATTTTGGATTAATATAAAAAGATTTATTGGAGGACTATATTTAATTTTTTCAGAGGAATTTATCACAGACCAGTAACAATGATGGTAAAAAGATAAAGGAGCTTCAATCAAAATTGGAGAAAAAGGTACAAATTACCCAATAATAATTAACTGAGGCACAATGACTGATGTGCCAAATAATTTGAATTCATAAATAATCAATCTGATCAAATGGGTTTTAAAGTCATAATTTTCCCACAAACTGGACAAATGAAGGTTGGCATGTGCCATGCAGTGTGCTATGAGGGAGATATTTTCCTGGACAGCGATGTTCCCGAATACTCCCGAATAATCTTCATCAAAATTCTAACTACCAAGGGTTCTTTTAAGTGCACACCAACTTATACACAAGACCTCGGTTTTTCATACCATCCAAACAACTTAAGGTGATATTCCTTGTCAGGCTATCTTGTCATGCTGAAAAATCTCTAGAACTTTCTTGGCCAATCCAAGGACCACCGTGGCTTTGGTAGAATTTAAAGATACATTATATAAGATTTAAATAAAGAGCTAGCCATTCTTGCTATAATAGTTCGAAAATAAATAATGTAAGATAAATAATTTCAAAATTTCATTCAAATTACTCTATTGCGATATTAGCCTTTGAAGGTTTGACAAGACGTGTGCAATAATTTCAACCACTGTACTAGTTGTTCGAAGCTAAGTCTTGCTCCTCCATTTTTAGCTTAAATCAAAGTATGGCTGAACTGTTCTAATCTGTTTAATATCGGAGAAATCCAATCCATCGAGGGTTGATTATGGCCTGGATAAGTTAATTAATGTCTAATTAATAATTTAGATAACATTTCAGGCCTAAAGAAAGACCTGCAATAGGCAGATTTAGCTCTTGCATAATGTATGTTTAAATAAAGTTTATTCTGTTTAATGCAGGGTATTAGCCAATGAAACGGTCTGTCTAGTCAAGATATGCACAGAATTTTGAGAGACATGTATAGCGCAGTAGGGAACAAAACAAAACAAACGTTAAACATCAATATATCATGTGTTTTAGTCAAAGATCACATGGGTGACCCCTGACATGACCTCCCTCACAAAATCTATATTACATCTGTATTTTAATCAAATGAGTAAAAACTGTACATATATATTCTTTTTTTGAAATTACTAATTGATATGTTAAACATTCATATTCCACAATGTAAGTTTACATGATAACAAACTAGAACTATATCAAATGATGCCCTACTGTAATATGATATATTGCTTTGTAAGTTATTTTTATTTTAGGAAAAAGAAATAAAGGAATTGACAACAAAAGTATCAACACCAAAAGAAAAAGCAGAAAGTCAAACAATCTGTACTCAAACAAGTCCACCACCAATACAGAAAATATTTAAAGAGGTGTGTACATACAGCATTAGTATGGGGGGGGGGGCGTTTGCAGAACTCCTGGAAGAGAACACTTGTTGAAATGTGCTTTATGTGAACAAACCATCGATTGTTTTCCATAATTGTGTTGTGTCTTTCAATAGGTTGATAAAGCTATAACTAAATGTATGCTGTACTGATGAGGACCTGAATTTCTTTCTTCTTTTCTTTTTAGGTAACAACGCCACTTCGTAAGACCTTTATTCCCTCAACACCAAAAGTACATCCAACTTACACACCAAGGACAGTTCCAAAAACTCCTGTTGATGAAAATATGACACCTCAAAGAAGCATACTTCGTGGTTTGAATAGTGTTTCAAAGAAAAGACGAGTTGCTTTTATTCCCGATGACGAGAAACACGATTCAGATTCTTCCTCTTCAGAATTGATGGAAGTTGAGGTAGGTACCAGTGCAATGTATACAGCCCAGAAAAATTCCTAAGATTTAGATACATTTATATGTAGTTTATTTCTTTGTTTATTTGACTAAAATCAATTTATTTAAATAAAGTAAATGGTAGTTATTGTGAAAATGCATTTTTTTACAAAGGTTAACTGTAATGTTTATTTCTCTATTGAAATTTATTTGTCAGACACACAACTATTTTTCACCAATCTTGATGGTGTTGGGGCTATACAATGATAATAAAATTGACATACTTATAAAAGGGGGAAAATATGTGCACTTAGATCAAAAGGTCTGTCATTAAGTTAATAGACATTGTTTCGATCCCACCCTTGTAATTATGGTTGCCTGCATAACCCTGTGGGTTTTCTCCCCACTTCCCAATTGATGAAAGACCCTAGTTTGTATTTCTCTCACAAAAGATATTTTATCAACTCAATGAATTGAGATCATCAGATGTGGTTTATCAAATAATTTAAGATTGATATAAGGAATATGTATACATGTATTGGTTTCTTGGGATCTATTTATTATTTTATAAAAAATTTCACACTTATAGCCAGATGACATTGAGAGATATAAGAAGGGAAGTGCTACACCAGTTCATATTAGACCATCACCAAGAACACCATTAACAGTATGTAATAACGCAAAGAAAATGTCTATGAAAACACCACCTTTACACAGAGTACCTAGAGATCCTCCTGTCAAGCCAAAACAGGTTTGTAACCTTTTAAATTTTCATTTCATATGAGCAAAAGTCTTTAACAAATTTTGTAGAAATGGGGTCATGAAGAATCCTGTTTTATATGTAAAAAGGTTAAAGATACATTCACGGGTACAAACTGGGTGATTTGATGATAAATTTGGACTAAACACATATTCAAACTAATTAATTTATCATAATTTTGCTTCAAATCCTTCTCAAAACATTGCAATAAAAATATCGACCGAAAGAGGTCATGTTTGTGTCACATGACTTACCTCACTCGGTACCTAGCAACGGGTGCGAATACGTCTAACTCTTCATAAAGTTTTTCAAACATGTACAACAAGCGCTCAATCTCCGCGTGCAACCTACTAACACTACTAATCGTTGGGCTGTCAATTAGGGAAACCCTTACATTTTTGTCCTGTATGCGCCCCATGAGTGTTTTTCAGGCAATCGAGTATTTTTCTAGTAAGATTGGATATTTCTACTTTCCATATATACCAAAATTGCCATACTTTTATTGGAAATAACCACCCGATAAATACTTTTCTGGGAACGTATCTTTAAGGAGATTAAATATTATTGTTTTATACAACCTGCGTAACCAAATTGTATTATTTATTACGTAAACATTTAATATTGAGTTTTTTTATTCAATAAATTTTGCACTTTTATTTTCCAGTCATCATTGAAAGGCTTTTTAGAAAATGAAAAAGAGCAGTTTCAAACATTGTTTCCAAATAAAGAGGGTCAACAAAACAACAAAAATGTAAGATTGCTTTTCTCTTGCATTTTGGTAACCACTGAAAACATTGATAATCAAGTTAGGGAGCCACAGAGGATCACTGAGAAAGGTTCTGGCACTAACAAGGTTGCTGGGATTTATTCCCAGTATTGGTATAGAATATTCGCTGGGATATTCCAACATTGTTTCTGGTGGGGGAGGGGGAGGGAAATGGCCGAATAGTTAGCGTTGTATCATAAGGTCTGTCATTGAGTCAACTGGCGTGGTTTCGATTCCCTGGTTGTATGTGAGAATAGGGTCATGGGTTTCCTCCCACCATGATTTCCTGTCAGTGGTGCAGGACAGATGGTCTGGCAAGGAACAGCTCTAGTCATTGGCGTGTATGTAAAAGATTCCTTGACAGTAGGAATTCAATTGCTGTCTGTGCAAAATTTCCCTCATAGCACACTGTACAGCGTATGTCAGTCTTCATTAGCCCAGTTGGTGCAGAACAGTAGGACATTAAACTCCATTTCATTCATAGTAGTAACCTGAGAAAAGTAGTTATAAATACTGTTCTTGACTGCAATAAAAACTTTAAAGGAAATTGTTGAATTAATCTATAATGTCATGTAATGGGTGGAAGAACACCTGGTTGGGGTGAAGGAGAAACAAAATAATCCCAAGCAAGAAATTCATCAACACTAAAAGAGTTCATTTCAATCTAAGACAAGGATTATTTTGCTTTGGATTATCCCAAGACAAGATAAAACAAGCAAATCTATTTTCAGTGTGGTTTCCTTTCAGACTTTGTATTGATATATCCCTTTTTATATTTTTAGCTGAAATCCATCCATGCAACACCTACAACCAGAACACCTTCAAATAAACCTCCACGCTCCAAATTCTTCTCTGTATCACCTAAGCTTCGTAAAGAGGGACATCACAAATCTGATAAAGTGGAAGATATGGCCTGGTTTGATTTGGACTCTGTTTTTGGTTTTGGTCCTGAAGACTGAACTGTATAAGATCCATTAAATATCTTATTATTGTAAAGTAATGCTGATCCAACATAAGATTTCTGTCCCAAGGCAATAGTAACTTAATGCCATCCACTGCATTAGGACGGGAGTCTTATTTTAAAAAAAAAAAGGAAACATCTGAGTTTATCAAAACTATACAGTTATATGGGACAACAATCACTGGTTTATTATACACAAGCACGACGTTTCGATAAGTATTCTCTTATCGTTATCAAGCACAAGCGATAAGAGAATACTTATCGAAACGTCGTGCTTGTGTATAATAAACCAGTGATTGTTGTCCCATATAACTGTATAGTTTTGTTATGTTTCCAATTGCTAAATGCCACTAAAGGATTATATCTGAGTTTATCTCCTGGTTCAACATTTACCCAAAAGCATAACATTCAATTCCATACTCCTGGTCTTATTTTTAAAAAAAGGACACTTCTGAGTTTATTGTAAAAGATGGTTCGACATTAACCCAAAGGCATAACACTCAATTCCATACTCAGCATTAGATCTAGAGCCTTTTTAAATAAGAAAACATCTAAGTTTATCCTCTGAGAAGATGATTCAACATTTTCTGTTATATGACACGCAAGGGCATAACACAATATTTAATATTCTGCATTAGGTCGGGAGCTTTATCAAGAAAAAACTCTTAATTGTTCCCTCTTATCTATGTAGTTTGCCTTGTCCAAAGGTTTGTCTTGTCGGTTTTGTTTGCCTGTATTACTGCAGTTACTATTATAAGTTGGGTGAATATTTATTTGAAATGTATAACTTCTGTGACTCTTCATTCAATACTCTGCATTAGGTCAGAAGCCTTAATGAAGAAACCTTTAATTTGCCCTCTAAGCAGCTGGGTCAATATTAACGACATGCAGGACTTCTCTGACTTTTCATTGAATACACTGCATAAGGTCGAAAGAATTTTTAAGGAAACCTCTAATAGGTTTTCCTCACAAATTACTCCTGAATAATTAGACTGTGATAGTTATACAATAACATTTAATCATATTTATACTCTTTTATTATTTAAAACTTATTTAATAAGCACATGTATTAAATATTGGTATAAATTAAAAAAAAAATAACAAAATTAAGAATGCATGATTTCTTTGATTTGGTTCTATAACTGCACTGTACATAAAAGTAAGAAAACATGAGTATTAAAAGGAATAATTCATCTCTTTCATTTGAATTTGTGTTTGTATAATTATTTATTGTATTTAATGTACATCTGTGATATTAAATTTGACTGTGATAAAGAGTTTATGCTGTAAAGTTGACATTTTGACTTGAATTAAAATCATTTGTGGAAAAATCTATTTTTATCTTTTTTTTCAGACACTGCTAAGATGAAGAAGAATTACTTGATAAATTTTGTTCTTGTCTTGAACCATAATCTTTTACTGGCATTTTAAGCCTTTTCTCTAAAAAATAAAAAAAATTGATTTGTAAGGCCACATCGATTTGATTTTTCTGTTCTTTAGTAACACCTGTAAAAATGTCCTTGTTTCTTCGAAAAAATGATTTATTTAAAAACCAAAAGTACTTAGTTGGACTATTCGGAAGCTTTTAGTTCCAAATTTTAAACAAAACATTCTTCACGTAATTCAAGTGGCAATTTATTATCAAGAACTCAAAGAATGAAAAATCAAATTGGTGTTGCCTTACAGAAAATAAAATTAAAGCCTTGAATTTTATCAGATTTTGAACTCCACACCAAGATTATTATGAAATGAAATGAAATGAAATGAAATGAAATGAAATGAAATGAAATAAGGTTTAACATCCTACTGTTTTGCTCGGACTGCACTAATGAAATCGAAAGATTATTTTAAGACTGGTAAATTTATCTGTCTGTAGTAGATTTAGAGAACTTAAGTTTCCAGCAGTGTTAAGGGATATGAGAATTTCTGGATATAGCAATATTTAAATCAGATTTGGGGGCCTCTCGACCCCCACCCCCACCCAACATAATGAGAGTAAACCAGTCTAGTAGAGCGAGTTTAAAATAATCCAACTCAATTTTTAAAATTCTACAGAGAATTCTGGTAATATATCACATTTACAAAAAAAAAGGCTTTAAAAATCAAAATGTGAATGGAAAGATCCATGTATCTCTGCAAATTGATAATTCCGTAATTCACAATCAGAATATTTTAATTGAGTCCCCCACCCCCTTTATGCCCTAAACAAACCCATCAAGTCACTTCACCCCAAAGGAGAGAGACATCAGCACTTTAATTAAATAGGTAAATTTAAGTCTTTGTCGACGTCTAAAACTCATTACAGATTTCACGTTAATTTAGAACGTTTTTTCCAAGATTGTGCTTATTTAGATTTATTCAAATATTGTTGCTTTGTGGGCAAGGCAGCAGTGGCTTGAGGGAAATTTCAACTAATTTTTTTTTCAGACCATAATATTTCTATAAATGGTGTTTCATTTTCTGATATAAACAAAGAAATATGGTCTTATGGTGTAGGCATTCGCATATTTTGAAAAAGTTAAAAAACTTCTATGCAAACTAGTAGTGCACTACTCTTAAGCGATGGGCGATATATATGCCGCTTTATCCTCTTAGTTTTATAACAGGATGGGTGAATATGGCTCTTTGTCCTCTTACTTTTATAATTGGTTGGGCAAATATTTTGGGGTTTTATGTCGAAAGATCTAAATATTACCAAGCACAATATCCAGTGCAATGGAAATTTTAAAAATAAAAAATAAAACTATTATCTAGAAGCTTTTCTCAGTCAATCAATCTTACTTCCAACTAGAAACTTAAGTCTTAAAAAGTTTGATGATGGGGTCTGAAATCCATTACCACACAACAATCAGACATACCTTTCCACAGAATACCTGAATTTAGATGGTCATTAATAACTTACGTGTCACAATACTCTTCTCCTGCGCAGCACCAAATATTCTGTTGCTTATATAAAATATTGCTGGTAGCATGCACATAACAAATGTTATGCCTAGTATTGGTCCCAAATCACCATGTCTATGAGAACACTGTAAGTCATTGCCCCATGTTAATCTGCTATAATTCATCTGAAAAAAATAAACAAATTATAATTCATTAGTATACAAAAAATATTTAGTGATCAATTGGACTGCTGCTCAATCTTTAGAAAGGAAAATGTAATCATTCACAGCTTTCCTGTCACTATTCAAAATAACCTATCAAAGCAGTTTCTGGTTTAATTGGATTTTTCATTGAGCTGACTTGCAACCCGTACACTACCTCTGACCTCATACTTTGACATCTGTATTTAGGCCATATTGGGGGGTTGGATGGCCGAATGGTTAGCATCTGTGTATCATAAGGTCTGTCATTGAGTCAACTGGCAGAGTTTCGATTTCTGGGTTGTACGTGCCTTGGAGTAGGGTTGTCTGTCCAACCTCAAGGTTTTCTCTGGGTCCTCTGGTTTCCTCCCACTAAAGATCCCTACGCGCAAGCGAATTATTGAAATAAAGTTGAACCATGTGTTAGTTCCGAAATGACCTATTTTGTGTCCAGTGGACTCTCTTTCTCTCCATATTACCAGGTAATCCCTACTCTTCATTCAATAGTTACCAAACCAAACGCCTTGCACCAATCTTCTGACAGAGTAAACACTGATAGTTTCCTCAAACCATTTAATAGACGTATAATTAGGCCAAACAAAAGAAATATTTTGGTTCTTAGATACTCCCACATCACTTGAAAAGAACCATATGTGCTGTTTTTATTCCAAAATATAAAAACGGTCTACTTAAAGGGGCATTATGGGAGAGTAGATAAAGAGTTGGCAGTTCCCGCTATAATAGTTAAAAAATAAAATATAGCCCTTCATAAAACTTTTGTTCTTTTAATGTACCAAAAACATCAATAATAAACTATGTGTTTCTGGATCAAAGATATTTCTAATAAACAGTGATTGTAAGTTGAGTAAATTCTTAACTTAAGTCTGAGAATGCTTTGTGAACTTATGTTAGCGAATCTAATGATGGGTAAGAAAATGGGGTATATAGCCAGTTTCCGTTTTGAATTAACATTTGTCAGTAAGCATCATCACTTACCATATCAATAATATCCATACATACACGTTGGAATGTTTGAGACACTATGGTTTCATAGTGAGCATTTAAAGATGAATAATTCTGTTTACATACTATACATGCTGAAACATTTGTTTTGTTAATACCGTTTTTTAATAATAATGGAATCTGGAAAAAGAAAGAAAAGTAATGTAACCAAATGTAACAACATGCCTTAATAAAACTTTCTATTGTCAGGGATCGAATTTGACGGACGCAAACACGCAAAATGCGTGTTGATTTTGTAGACTGCGTGTCACAAAATATGTCACACGAAAAAAAATGTGTGTAACATTTTTTCGCTTATTGTTACTGAATAACATGATTTCTTCTTTTACGCAAAATCAAGACGATAATTATGACAAAAAACGGAAATTCTATAGATTATTTTCCATCCTTACAAGTTTCTTGCAAAATGTAAATAGGACACAGCTCACCAAATATTTCTATGCCGTCACCCACGAATGTAGGGCAAAAGTTATTTTTAGTCTTTCTCTCCCTTTCCCTTTTTCCCCCTTTTGCATGGCGATTTTTGTTGACTTTTTGGTGTAGAATCGAAGAAAAGGGTTTGAAAATACATTTTCTACCAGGTTTTGGTGAATATTCATGATTTTGAGGCGGAAGGATACAAGAGTTGAGAGGTTGGTTAGGTTGAAATGTAGGGTCCGAAATTGCATGTTTTCTTGTCTCTACTTCCAGCTTGTGTATCTCAAGTTTTCCATGGTGAACCTCATACGTGCTTTTGGGCAAGAGGTTGCCACATGTTGCTCCATCTGTGGTAGAAAGCGTTCTACCCAACGAAAATTTGGGAAAAAGTTAGAGCCGGTCTAATAGACGAGAATTAACATTAAAGTCAATGGGCAAATGTTTAGTGATCTGTGGCCTGTCTATGTGTGACAGGCTGAGACTGATATGCCTTAGTTTTGAAAATATGAAGATTAAACTCTCAGAAAATATGAATAAAATATTTTGACTACTGAAAAACTAAAAAAAGTTAAATTTAAAAAAAAAAAATCAAAATTTGGAGAAAAATTGTGATTTTACTGCAAATTTCTCAATTTTCAGTTTTTATTTAATTTCTAATAGTAAGAAAAATATTTTAATGCCCAATTTTGGCTTATTCAACCTCAGAAAGCACAGATACAGTGAACAGTATTATAATTTCACCAAATTTTGTGTAAAATAAGGGGTATTCACAGAAAATTTTTGGATTCCCCCCATCTCAATGTAGAAATCAATCCTTTCATGACTACTCAAATGAGTCAAAATGTCTAAAATGCATCTGATTTTCATTGCTAATATAACTTAGATAGGATCTACAAGTTTATCAGGTTTAGAAATAGCCCCAGCTTTCCTACAGAAAATCGAAAATTGGTAAAACTGAGTTAATAATGTACAGCAGATGGGTTTGTACAAAATGTTCAAAACAGGGGTTGGCTCAAGTTTGCTACTGTTTTACCCAGAACAAGCATTTTTTTCTTCTTTGTAACATTAAATTCTTGCATTTCCATCACATAGAAAGCAATATTCCAGTCTCTCTACCCAATTTTAACTCCACCGTTTCCTTAGGAGAGGCTATAAATGCCCCACCCCACCCTTTTTCATTAATATGTTTTGAGAGATTTAATTGCACCTGTGTTGACAATAAAATGATAGTAATTGGAATTTGTGGTTGAATTACAGCTAGGAATGTTGTCTTTCACTAATAAATAGCTATTTTGTACATTTCAAAAATTTCTAAGCCTTTTTGTTTAAAGTCAAACTTAGAACCCAGAGACATGTCAGGCCAATGAGACCACACCCTAATATAAAACTGGTGTAGAAATGTAAATGTCAGCTTAATGTTCAATATTTTCTTATCAAAGTCTAGGATTTGTGGTGATTGTTGCATTTATGTTACTTATAGAACAGTTAAATGTTAATATTGCTCCTTTTCAGGCCTCCTTCATCTTGTCAACTCTGTCATAATTACTTTTTGGACTTCATTTTTTCAGGCAATTGATGTAAAGGTCCAGACATCTTGCTTCAGCACAAGAATTGCAATAAAGATTTGTATGGTGCCTCTGAGCCTTGAGATGTTGAAAACCTTGAAATTTTCCCAAATTTGTGAAAATTGTGTATTCTGTGACCCTTTTGTTAGAGAGGGATGGTCATAGACCAAATATGGCAGTTTTTTCTTTCATCAAGGCCTATTTTTAACCATAATTCATATTTATTGCACATATTTTAGTTTATATGTACATATGTTAGCCAGGGATGGTAAAACATAGCTATTAGACAGATTGCTTTGATGATGTTACTTCTGCAACCAAAGATTAGATTCATTCAGTCAGTGACATATTTAGGGGGTGGGGATACATGTTTAAGTATAGATCTCTAATATTACAATCAATGCAGCTGATTTGTGATTTTTCTGTTTGTATATTGGCCAGGGTTTCTAAAAATATATCCCTTTTCGGTCTGGCTATCTAAAAAGTGGAAAATAATTGGGTTTTTTTAAAGATGCTACATGTAAATTTTGTACATTTTTCATGACATGGCAGTAAAAAATTATATTTTTGAAAAAAAATCCAGCTTATGAGTGTTTTCTGTGTAATTTGTTTGTAACTTGTCTAATTTTTTCACAGAACTCAAATACTGCCTTTAATAAGAAATATTTTTAAATCTTAGCACAAAAGGCCCATGGACCTGAGATGCACTACTGTACATAAAGCGGCAGTTTTTGCAGTTATTCTTTGATTTTGATTTCCTTTCACCGGTATGTTACCAGAACATATGGGAAGCATATAAAAAAGGCTTTTTGGTGATACCTGAAGTTTCACCCCTATATAGGACACAGCTGAGCCAACCCAGCTCCCAAATGAACAAAAAAGGTCTTAACCACTATTTTAAATTCAAAATATATCTTACATCAGCACCTGGTGTTGCATTAAGACATTGTCGAAAAGTATCATAATATCTGCGAAAGAGCACAGTATCCTTGGTTAGTGTGAAATTAACATTCCCGGTTTCTTTATCTTCATCTATACTTTCAAAACAACCTGCAACAAACATTGGGAATAATATTGACATATTTCTATTATATTGGCCAATATTTGGTTCTCCTTGATAAAACAAGATCAAAAATAAGAAGAAAAGAAAAAAGCAATTCTTAAAGATAAAAACTTACTTTCACAATCAGCATTATTCCAAACATCTTCCATATTTTTATTAACTAAAGTTAAGGCTTGAATTCTATCTGAACGTAATAACTTGTCATGGCAGTCATCACCCTTCTTATCCTAAAAGTTAATAATATGGTACTATTATTCATTGCTTAAATAGCAAAGTAAACTTTATATTGACTTGATATGCAGGTAAATGTATAAAACAATTCAATCAGTGTTAACAAGCCAAAATGCTTATCATTTATACATGTATGGACTACAAATCTGAAAGCCATGGTTGATTCGTACACAAAATTTTGACCGGACAGCAGCGGTATGGCTAGCTACGAGAACGTAGCTAAAAACGTTTAGATATACTCATGTGTTTGTTATTAGCTACGATTGGATGCCTTTAGTTCCAAGTGACAAACTCAATTTCTTTATTAATGCATGTAACATCTTTAAAATAAGATAAGTTTATGCTATTATGATTAATTAAACTTATAGAGGCCAATGTAGTGGCACAACTGTCGCCTAACTCCAAATATTCGCGTTTAAATTAATAAAGCGTTGTTTTTGTCTGACATTTACCGCCATCGAAATCCATTCATAGTTACAGAACTTTAGATTGCCCTATTGATTGGCTGCTATAAAAGCCTTATATTTAGCCCCGCCTTCATGATGACAGCGTATCGTTTAAAAAGATGGCGGTCTTAGTAACGGCTTAACGCCTTGATTTTAAAAACGACGATTTGTACCCGTTTCAGATAGGATTATATGCTTAATTGTAGTTGGGTCTGGCAGAAATATTATAAATAACAATAATCAATCGTTGTTTTTATTCAAAATATTGTCAATTTTGTTCACAAATGCCGGGTGCGAATCGCTCCCGCATGTACTACGTTGAAGGTAATGAATGGCCTTATGTCTTATCTCGAAACAAGGAGGGTTGAGAGATTAAGGTTTATTATCTACGCTATGGCCTACTCTTATTTCAAGGGTTATTGTGCATGTCAATGTGTGCACGGGCTCTCGGTTTTTCATTCCATCTGAATGACTATACATTGTCCCTTGTCAGGCCCTCCATCCTACACCACTTACAAGGGTGAACCCTGCTGGAAAATCCTGATGAACCATTCTACATGTACATACAAACATGGGATCAAATCCATTAGATCAGTTCTGCCTTTTATACATGTACATGTAGTGTTTGTACACTTAAAAAATATATTGAATTATTAACATTAACATAAAGCTATTCTAATAACATGCACACTGTTTAAGGATTTAATAAAACAAATGTCATACATGTACATACAAACAAAGCCTGATATATTTCTGTTGCTTTCTTGTAAGGAATAACACACCCTTCACACAATCTAAATGGTCTAGAATTCATCACTAAACAATTTGTAAAATTTGAAGCTGATTCAGCAAAATATATTAGATTGGCTTGACAGGAATCCATAATACTAGAGGAAGAATTATCTGCTTCATCTGACCATACAGTCCCACCCGTCAATGAACTTTGATCATCATAATATTGTCCATCATAACTGGCGACTACTTGTAGTAGTATCAAACATAGAAATTGAAGAAAACCATACATGTTGTTGAAGGAATTGCACCGTAGGCCTATACTTTAAAATAAAACAAATTTAGAAGTTTAGGTCTTATTATTATTCGACACAGTTTATTTGCCAATCAACATTACTTAACAAATTTGTCCCCTGGCTTCTCTTCGACTCTTGATTCATTATTTATCTATCACTAAACGTAACAATTTCCCGTTTTCTCAGAAGTTATCTGTGAAAAGATCAGCACGTCGTGAACGTCTGTCATAAATGATGAAAGGACACCTTTCCCATTAGATATATTTTTACTTTTGCTACAAGTAATTTCAATCAACCATTGTAAACAAACTGAGATCACGTGCAATGTTTTCTTTGATTTCCGGTTCATTTCAAATTCATTTCAAAATTTTAAGTAAACGCAAATTGTCTACATCCATTTCTTACTGATAATATACATCAAATATTCGATACAAAATTCTGGAGATAGTTTATGCATTTTGAGCACTCTCATAAAAATCTATTTAATTCTAATCAAGGGTAGTAAATATCAATTTATTTATTTATTCGTTTCCCAGTATGTCAAGTGTGTAATTTTAAATCCAATATGGAGAAGAAATTGTAAAACACTGTAGGCCTAACACGCGATTCTTCTCTGGGGGTTATTTCAATAAAAATTAATATGTCTATTAGGATATTAAACAATTACTGCAGGTTTGCACACATTTTTTAAATTTCTTCTGGTCTGTATTCACCAGTTTTCTGTTAATGTCAATGACTGAACAGGACCTAATACAACGTACCGTTACCGTAGGTCTACATCACATGTAACTTTTTCCGTTTTGTAAGTCGTAAAGTGTAAAGAAGAGAGAGAGACAGAAAGAGAGAAATGAGGTTTAACGTCCACTCGACACCAACTTGGTCATTTCGGGACTAACGCATGGTTCAATTTTATTTCAATCATTCGCTTGCACGTAGGGGTCTTTAGCAGTGGGAGGAAACAAGAGAAAACCCACGAGGTTGGACAGGCGACCCTACTCCTTGTCCCGTACTGAACCGGGGAATCGAAATCCCGCCAGTTGACTCAATGACAGACCATATGATACAGTGCAGCGCGCACGTGCTAACCATTCGGCCATCCAACCCCCCCTCGTAAAGAAGAAGTAAGAACGTTACGAATGTGTAGTTAATAAGTTACGCGTAGTTCAGAAACGCTGAACACAACGAAGCCTGGTCATTTGGATCTGCTCGATTGTTAGGCCTGAACTGACAGAATTGTTATCGAGTAACATTGAATTGGAGTAGGCTACTGTCACAGATGCGTCATTACTGATAACTAAGTTAGTGTGATTAGAACTGTGATGTAATTAAACACAACAAACACAGTTGTGGTTGGTCGAATTAATTTCTTATTTGGTCGATTATGCATTTATTGTAGCTGTAAAATACCTGTTTTCAATAGATTTTCACGATTCGTGAGATTGGGCGATCTTGAACTCAAACACCATACATTGATAAAACATTGAGTGATTTGAGTGTAATAGTGCTACAACTTAACCTAAACCTGTACACTCATCCACATCTCTAGAGTTCTTATGAGGAATATTCACATTTCAAACCCATGTAATCATGTTCAAGGTGCTGCCTTTGGTTAATCCATGGACCTTATAATACAGTATTAAAAGGTCCATGGTTAATCGACAGTAGTTCAAAGGAGCTAAACCCTTATGCTTTGGCACCTAGAAATAGACACTACTGGGTCGCAACGCATATAATTATGTAATATAAGTATGTATATAAACTGATTTACATTCAACCGTTTCTGTTTTTACTGTAATTTCTAATCAGTTATGTTCAGCGAAATACGAGAAGGGTCCAAATTGATTGTCAGTCTTTGGCATCTGGTTATTCTAGTCTACATCGGTAATATTCATCTGTGGGGTATGTTTAGCCTGGTTCATCAAGTCACTTCATTATAAATGGCTCTCGAAAGCATTCTGGCACATGATTTGTGGGCCAATTTTAAAATATTCATTTTGTCTTAAATATTGGAATCGGAATCCTATCTTTTCACGGTAAGATAATAACATCAGTGTTGATTTAAATTGACCAATAAGTCGTGTTTGCAATGTCGTAGACTTTGGATGATATTAAGTTAGAGACTTGCCTCCTTTTAAGTATCCCCTGCATGTAGGACAATACAAATTGTAAATCCATGCCAACTAACAATACAGATAAGAATGCACCATGAAGACAGTACTGTACATATGTACATGTAAATGTTCATCTACTTTTCAGACTGTTAGTGACAGGATCATGGAGAAGATTAGCAACATCAAGTATTTGTCAGAAAGAAAAGGGTAGTGGTGAAAATAAGAAACACAGAAATGAAGAAAATCCTAAGTGAGTATTCATCAAATGATCTACCACCTCTACTAAAATGAATAATTGATATTTTTAGTCCTGCCAATCTTGAAGAAAAAAATTGTTTTATATCGCGATATTAATGTGGATCAAAATAAGGACCAAAACAATTAAAGAGTGTTTGTGTACCTATGGATAATGTTTGACATGGATAATTAAGAGTGACTGCAGCAACAAAAAGAAACATAAAAAAAAAGAATCACGATACATCAATCCAGCATGTCACAATTCAATACATGAATCATGAGAAGGTGAATTGCGATACATCGATTCAACGATATATGTATATCGTGCCAGCACTATTACAGTTACCCGACCAAATCGCTAACTCTAAACAGAACTAAAAGACTTTCTGGGGCCAAGTAACCGTCATCTTCAATAGAAGGCTTGACCTCGCTTTAACTACGTACATGTACATCTTATCAAGGCCTTCACGTAATACCCTGCATATTTCAGCACTAATTTCGATTGGGTACAAGTCGTCGCGAATACCAAGTCTCGCACTTTCAAGCTAAAATGTCTACCTGTGATAATCGAGTTGCAAAGTTCTAGGTTCGTCAATGTCAAGGTTTCCATGGCAGTCGCTATCTCAAAATCTCTGAATGGATGCCACTGTTCACGTGTCTGCAGATAACATAACAGATAAGGTCGGGAATTGTAAATTTATCTAGCAGCGTCCAGATGTTGTAAAACTCGCAGTCGCTATTTCAGGAACACAAGTAACCGTAAACACAGGTACTTATTTCTTGACCTCACATGTTTGTGTTAATTTGTGTTTTTAGGGGTGAAATAGAGGAAGAATTAAAGACAGCCGTGAAATCAGTAGCCAAGTCAATAGCAGGAGATGCAGCACAGACAGAAAGTGATCTACTTCAACAACTTTTGAAACAAACAAAACTATCTAGTCCTTCTGTTTCCGAAGTTAAACCTACAACCACACCCACTTCAAGGTAAGCACATATAACTGTTTAATGCTACCGGTATATAAAAGATTCAGTTGTTGTTCATGTCATATCAATGATATATCTGTTTTATACGCCCACATTTTCATATGGATGTATATTGTCGTCACCCCTGTTCGTCCGTCTGAGGGATGTGTGTCCGTGTATTCATTCACATTTGTTTGTTGACACTCTACAGGTCACAATTTGAATCCGATTTTGACGAAACTTAAAATATAGGTTTATCTCTCAAATATCTTGGTTTCTTTCGATATTTGGATGTATCGGAACTTAACTTCCTGAATTATGGCTTGTTATTGAGATATGTTAAAGTTCTGTATGTAAACACTTAAAGATGCATTATTTAAGATTTAGATAAATAGCTGACAGTTCTCGCTATAATAGTTTAGAAATAGGTACTTGTAATGAAAAAGGATAATATTGAAAATTTCTGCCAGATTACTTTATTCTGAGCAAAGTTATCAGTGTTTAAAATTTTAATAAAAATAACGTACATGTAGTCTTGATTTTCATTGCTACCTTTACTACGATAATAAACAAAGTCTTGATTATCCATTTTTAAAGTAAATTATTAAATCGTGATCGTGTTTCAATGCATTAAAAATTACAATCATCTCATGATGTTCTTGAGAGTTGATTATAGGCTTGTCATGTTAATTAATGTCTGATTAATAATTTATATGACATTTGAGGCCAAAAGAAAGACCTGTAATAGGCAGATATAGCTCTTACAGGAATAAACACAAAAACATAATATGGAACACAATTACTATTTTAATTAAAGCGATGATGTTTCGTTGAGGGTTCTCTCAACGTTTTCAAGCAAATCTTTAAAATCTATAAAATTCTTATTTTAATTAAAGTCATTTTGGATCATTTTTGTATTTGTTCAAACTAAATTTATAAGATTGTATTAGTTCGTGTAGTATCACTTCTTTCAATAAATCTAAAATCAGGAAATGCAATGTCTATAAATATTTGTCAGCCATATCTGTCTTATTATAAGGATATGGACTTATTTATATCTTTACATGTAAATTACATGTAATACTCAGGATGCAGCCAATTAAAGATGCATGATGTAATAGCTAAATCTGCTTACTGACTTTCTTTTGACTTCAAATGTTATATAAATTATTATTTATTAAAGATACATTATGGGAGATTAGATAAAGAGTTGGCAGTTCTCACTATAATAGTTAAAAACTAGATAATGTAAAGGGTACGATAAAAAAAACATAGTCTTGATTATCCATTTCATGATTTAATCATAAATGAAAGTTGAGCAGCAGATCGGATCCTAATCCAGTAAATATCGCAGGCTAGCGATGACATCGAGAGTTAATTATGATCCGGATAAGTTAATTAACGTCTAATTAATAATTTAGATAACATTTCAGACCTAAAGAAAGACATGCAATAGGAAGATTTAGCTCTTGCATAATGTATGTTTAACCTAACAAGCCTGTAATCAACTCTGAAGACCGTGGGATAGCCAAGATTTAAATAGATTTAAACACCCTTGAGATTTAACGATTTAATGCTAAAATGGATAACGATAATAACGCTACAATAATAAACTTCACCCAGAATAAAGTAATTTGAATAAAATTTCAATCATTTTGCATTATCTATTTTTTTAAGTGTTATAGGTAGAACAACCAGCTCTTTATCTAAATTTTTAAATAAATTTTATTATGTGAAGAACTTTGTTATGGGAAGAGGTTTTCTAAATTACAGAACAAAATGGCTGTACTCTATTAAAATTTATTCCAGTGTACCAATTGCCAGTAGTACCTGTAAAGCTGACAAGAAAAGAGTGTATAGTCTTTCGAATGGGGTGGAAAATTGAGGTCCATATCATGTCCACCCATTTTTCTCCGGGTCCTCCGATTTCCTCCCACTGCTAAAGGCCCCTACGCGCAAACAAATTATTCAAATAAAAATTGCAAAATATGATGTTGGTCCCGAAATGGCCTAGTTTGTGACGAGTGGATGTTAAACCCCATTTCTCTCTATATGCATGTAAAGGAAATGAAATGTTGTTTAAATTCAAACTGTTCTGCTCCGACTGGGCTAATGAATAAGGGCATACACCTATAGTGTTCTATTGTGGCCGAACAGTGGTGCTATTGTCTGCCGAACGTTCTTTGACATGTACGTCTATGTGTATATGGCATCTTGTTTTCCCTCCCATCCAAACGACTATATATGTTGTCCCGTTGCCCTCCGTCCTACACCACTGACAAAGAAGAACCACTCTAGAAAATTCAGATAAACTTTCTCAGCCCATGGGTCCTTCAGGTTAGGAAGCCAAGGTCCTACCCACTGATCCACCGTGGGTGCCAGCCAAACACGGGTAAAAGATTATATAGTAAAATATTTTTGGTTTTCTTCAGAGATCTTCTGGTGAATATGACAGTTAAAAGATTTACAGAAGATCAATTTGAAAATAATAAGGGTGAGTATATTTACTTTTTTGAGAAATCGGTTGAGATATTGTTTTATGTTGAATATCCTAATTTGAAGTATTTTACCTTTTCTGGGTCTTTTCTGCTGTTGAATCCTGAGGAGATACAATCTAAACATTTAATTCCATTACATTTTTGGAGCAGGAACTGGTCACTAACCGCTACTCATCTTTTTTTTGTTCTTCTTGGAGTGACCATCTTGGAAAAAGCCTGAGGCTTTTGTGTAATTATGTATGGAATGAAATCCTGTCTCTCGAAGTATCTCTGCGTTAGAAAAAAAAGGAATCGTTTTCTTTAAAGATATGACGTCCTATTGTTCTGCTCCGATGGAGCTAAATAAGACGGGAATACGCCATACAGTGTGCTATGGTGGGCATTTGAGTAAATTTTAGCATGGATTAAGCTGTGAAAAATAAGATATTGACTGAAAATTGGAATTAACAATCAGCGACTTTTATGAAATCCAGACTATTGACCAGGTATCCTTCATACTTTGTTCATGGCGTACGTCTGCCTTACCCCACAGTCTAAATACAGGTAATTTCTCTTTTTTTATCAGGAAAATCAAGAAATAAAACAACTAGAAATAGTAATGAAAATAATAGGACTGGACAACAATCAAGACTTGTTAGAGAAGGTGCTAGGTAAGTTCCTCTAGAAAGTAATTTCTTGACCCCAAGAGGCACGAAATGAAATATTTTTCACATTACACTTCCCCATTCTGCATTTTGCATTATAGACAAATGCATAATAGAACTTAGCATATTACAACATATACCTTTTATGGAATCTACAACAAATCCTGCATATTTCGTCACTAATTACGATTGGCTACTGACCCAGCTGGGGACCTCTCAGATTCCTGGATAGAAATTATCATCACGAATACCAAGTGATAAACGAGCTGCGAAGGTCAAGGTTTGTTCAATCATTAAACTTCAATGCCAAGGTTTCGTGAAAGTCACAATTTTTGATTTGAATGTGTTTTTGCCAAGACCTCTGATTGGACAACGCTATTGTTCACGTGTCTGTGGTAAAGTGAGTTAACATACCTATAAGTTTGGTAATTGCTAACTAACCTGGCAATGGCTAGATGTTGTAAAACTTGCGGCCGTTGCTTTAGGAACATGCAAGTCAATATGCAGGTCAAAATATATATTTTAAAATTAATTTCTCTTCTCTATTTTTTTCAGAACAAAATATGAATTATTTGAAGGACCGGACTTGGGTATATTTGATCCTCCGTCAAAACAATCAGGTAAAATAGAAATTATTTATTACCAGACATTTTGTGTATAAAGGATTTAGATAACTTATATGTATATCAATTGATATAAAGCTATGACATTTTCACCAAAGTTCTTCCGCTATATAAATATGACCCATTGGGGTGCACCAGGAGGACTTGACATATCTAGATATAGATAGCTGATTTTACATCATAAGAACCCAGTCTATTTTTATAAGGTCACACAGTTGAAATTCCTGTTTTCACCAGAAAGGATATACATGTATGGTATCAAATATCAACCTTAAATGACTGCTTTAAGGAAATGTTAATGTTCTTCCTTATTACATTTCAATTACTTTCAATTAAATTTTATGGCACATATAAATATTTTCAATATGGCAAGCCTTAAATTTTAATATTTATTTATAGCATGAAAAAGTAAATTGTGGAAATATCTGACCCAAATCCAATTGATTTAAAAGATTTTAGAAATATAGTAAAAAAGTATTAAACATTTCCAGTTATTTAGGACCATTATTTAGACTTGTAAGGTAAAAAGTGGATTTCTTAAATGATGTATATTATGATCTAAGATTAGTTGTAATTTGGGAGGTTGGATGGCCGAATGGTTAGCACGTGCGTGCTGTATCATAAAAGTCTGTCATTGAGTCAACTGGCGTGGTTTCGAATCCCCGGTTGTACGTGACAAGGAGTAGGGTCGCCTGTCCAACCTCGTGGGTTTTATCCGGGTCCTCCGGTTTCCTCCCACTGCTAAAGCCCCCTACGCGCAATTGAATTATTGAAATAGAATTAAAACCATATGTTAGTCCCGAAATGACCTAGTTTGTGTCGAGTGGACATTAAACCCCATTTCTCTCTCTCTAGTTGTAATTTGTAGCCAATCATTCTGTCAATCAGTTAGATTAAAAGACAATATAGTTGTATTACACTTTAATCATTTCATTTCATGAAAATAAACCTATGTTGTATAAGTTTGAAAGAAATCGTTGGTTCAACTTCAGATTGGAGTATATAATATAGATGTATATTGTGTCATTAACCCCACCGTCAATTTCTTATGAACACACTACTTCTGATTGGTCAGAAGGTAAATCCCTATTAAAATTTTAAAAATAATCTGAAGTAACACTGGTGGGATTGACGATACTTATTGCCAGATAAACTAAACTATGTACCTACATGTAATGCATGTCTTCAGAAGCGCTATGTCTTTAAAGATGTTTTTTCTTTGGTTCTAGCCCCAGTTGCGCCTCGTGAATATGACAGAACAAAGACATTAAGACATAGATTAGAAGAAGAAATGCGTACTAAATCAAGTACTCCACCAAGTAATGCTTTTCAAGAAATGATAAGATGGACAGAAGATGGAAAACTGTGGTCATTTCCTATAGATAATGAAGCAGGTATTGTAATAGTTCCTTTTGGATTAATGAATATTTTCTGTGACCTTTCCTCTCTGTCCTTATTTAAGCTGCAATATGAAATTAATGAAACTACTATTCTACCTCCATCTTTGTCCCAGTCTTCATTAGCCCAGTTCGGAGCAGAACAGTAGGACGTTAAACCCCATTTCATTTCATTTCCATCTCTTTACTAAGTCCTAACCTTATGTTTTTCATCATAATTCATCATAATAGTTCGTCAAAAGGAATCATTTCTCGCCACATCCGACACAAATGCATAATAATCCAGCATTATTATATTAAGTAGATTTTTTTAATTCATAAACATACACAAAATTTGTTTGAAATGGTGGGCCATTATGAGACTAGAGTGCACAGCTTGCAGTCTTTAGTTTATGTTTTGGGGGTAGAGGCAGAGCAGTATTTTTATATCACAGTTTAATAAGGATGGGCAGGATTGGTCAGACGACTTCATCCGTTCAGAATTAGTTCCAAAAGGGACTAATATTGTAACAGTTTACGGTTAGGCAACTGGAGTACAAACTACAAACTGAAATGAAATGAGGTTTAACATCCTACTGTTTTGCTCCTAACATGAAGACGCACAAGCTACAAAGTGACCATCTTGAACCAACCCACTAATATATGTCAAAGATGTTGTTTAATGTCCTACTTTTTTGCAACAACTAGACTAATTAATGACAAGGCATGCAGTGTGCTATAAGGAAAATTTTGTTTGGACAGCCACGCTACAGCTAACTGCCAAGGGACCTTTAATGTATACACCATTGTGTAAACAAGCCCACGGTTTTTCGTACCATCCTAACGACTATACGTTGTCCCTTGCCAGGCACTCTGGCCTGCATTAGTGACAAGGGTTGAACCACAACAGAAAGGGCTGAGGAACTTTCTCAACAAATACCAGCATTTCCTCTTTTACATACATGGCAATGTGTACACAGGACCTTGATTTTTCATTCCATCTGAAACACTAGACACTGTGCCTTGAGACGCTTTTGTCCTGCACCCCCGATGAATGGAAACCACATTGAAAAATCCAAAGGAACTTTCTCAGACAACTTCTGTATGAAACCTGGTTCCTTTTGGTTAGTGAGCCAGCAAGATGTAATTTTCATTCCCTTTTTTAGGATTTATGTTGATAAAGAACCTTTCTTTATTTACAGGTATGAAGGAAGAAGCTAAAGTTGGATTTCATGAACATGTTTTTCTAGATGATCAAATCACAGATTTTCCTAGAAAAGGTCCAATACGTCATTTTATGGAACTAGTGGTTGTAGGTTTATCAAAGAATCCCTATTTATCTGTTTCTGATAAACATGAACATATTAACTGGTTCAGACAATATTTTAAAGACAAGGATCCAGTGTTAAAAGAAAGTCTAGGAGAAGCTAGTAAATTCTTGGAAACGGGACAAAAAATGTGAACAGTCATGTGTGAATAAAGTGTGTCAAATATGAAATATGGTCAATATAAAATGTAGTGTCATAAATATTTTTTTTTTTTTGTTTATTAAACTGTACTTAGCACTTACAATGCCCCGAAACCGATCCGTCACATAGTTAGCTGCCCCACTCAAATGAACTATGCACGGTCGGAAAGCCATTCACATATCTGGGCAGTTTAATGATCAAATATCGAATATGGTCAATATAAAATGTAGTGCTATAATATTTGTTTATTACATTGTATTTAGCACTTACACTGTAATTAGCACTTACACTGCCCAGAAACTGCCCCGTCACATGCTTAGCTGCCCCGCCTGAATGAACTATACATGGTCGGAAAGCCATCCACATATCTCGGCAGTTTGATGATCAAATATCTACATGTAATATGGTCAATATAAAATTGAGTGTAGTGGCTTAAATGGTTTAAAACATGCAAATCGCTTGTTCAACCTCGGGGGGGGGGGGATCCTCCGCTTTCCTCCAACTGCTTAAGACCCCTACGCGCCAGCAAGTTATTAAAATAAAATTGTACCATATGTTAGTCTTGAAATGACCTAGTTTGTGGAATTGTGGATAAACCCATCTCTCTCTGTCTCTCTCTCTCTCCTATTGTGTGACATTATTGTGCTAAATAAGAAAACTTGTATGTTGAAAGTTGATTCTATATCTTTTAAAGAAGTTGAACAAACCAATTCCAATAAACACTGATAAGATTTTAGATCTCCCGTACAAAACTATAGTTTGTTCGTAACAAGGAGTAGGATTGCCCGTCCAACCTCGAGGGTTTATCTCCGGGTCACCAGGTTTCCTCCCACTGCTAAAGACCCCTATGCACAGGCAAATTGTTGAAATAAAAATTGAATCGTTTGTTGGTCCCAAAATGACCTGGATTGTGATGAGTTGACGTTAAACCCCATTTCTCTCTCTCTCTCTGTAGTGTTATCAATTTCTTCGTACCAGACCACCTTGTGAACCTACCCATTGAAATCACCAGAAATGGACAAAACTGGACAGTCATCAAGTATCTATAACTGACGGGATTAAACCAAACATAGATACATGCCAACATGGTCTCCACCTCCGGGGACGATGCCCCTTCCTTTTCACAGTAAAGAAGTGGGAAAGAGACCTCAACGATGACCTGCGTCCTGGAAGGCCATCAACAGCAACCAACATGGTCTCCACCTCCGGGGACGATGCCCATTCCTCTTTCACAGTGAAGAAGTGGGAGAGAGACCTTGACGATGACCCGCGTCCTGGAAGCCCATCAACAGCAACCATTCTAGAAAACACTACCCGGGTGCATGACATGGTGATGGCTGATCAAGAATTGACCACTCGACGTATTGTCAGTGTTGTGAGCTTCTCTCTCATGAGAGGGTTGAACACATTATCGACAACCCGTTCGGAATGACAAAAGTTTCTAAAAGATGGGTGCCAAAGCAGTTCAGAAACATGTCAGATTCCTGACGTCGCGTGACAATCTGCGCTATTTTGAAGCAGATCCTGATAATTTTCTGGATAGATTTGTAACCATGGATGAGACCCGTTTCTAAAAATGAAAAAGGAGCTAGCCGGTCGTCATTTTCCTAGTAATGAGGACGCATTGTCAGCTGTGAACGACTTTTTTAGGCCTTACAACATCGTTAGGAAAAGTGTGTACACCTCCACGGGGACTGTGTAGAAAAATAAATGGAAACCATCGACTTTGTACTAGCCTTTCACAGATAGGCTTAGAACTTTTCAGACAGCCCTCATATATGCTAGGTTTTATTTTCATTTATTGTGGCACAACTTTGTTGGAGAGGGTGTTGGGTCGCGGAGTGGTTTATTGTATAAGGTCATAAGGTCTGTGATTGAATCAAATGGCATGATTTTGATACCCCTTTTGAATGTGATGTAGGGTTGCCTCCCCAAATTATTGAAATACATGTATAATTGAATCATATGTCTGTCCCGAAATTACCTAGTTTGTGTCCAGTGAACCTTAAACCTCATTTCTTTTTCTCTCCAGTTAATCCAAGGTTGTCCTTATTGCTAATCTATTTATAACTTTGTCATTGAGTCAACTGGCGTGGTTTCGATTCCCTGGTTGTATTGACAAGGAGTAGGGTCGTCTGTCCAACCTCGTGGGTTTTCTCCGGGTCTTCCAGTTTCATCCCACAACTTAAGACCCCTACACGCAAGCGAAGTATTGAAATAAAATTGAATCATATGTTAGTCCGGAAATGACCTAGTTTGTGTCAAGTAGACGTTAAACCCCCTCTCTCTCTATTTATGACTTTTGTATCGTCCACCACTGACATCAAATCAAATCGCCTTCAATCATAATCCAAGCTCTTTATTATTGGTCAACAGCGTGGGATTTCCTCCAGTAACTCCGGTTACCTCCCACTGCTCGTTTTCTCTCTCTCCTTATATTTAGACCAATAAGTAGAAAATCGCGAATTCATATACACAGATCCTACTTTAGCTTTATAAACACTTTGGAGTGTCTTGAATCGAGGATTTCCGAAAGTTTCATTTGTTTATGAAGTCGTGATTGTTTGATAGTATCAATTAGTAGTGATCTAGATATTTATAGATTCTAGAATTTATAAAGCCCCATAGGCCACAGGCACTTGAAGGGATTAAAATAAAACTTTATTACTATACTGCTTGACTATATATTAAACTTTATTACTACTGCTTGACTATATAATATATTATAAAGTCAAGCAGTAGTAATAAAGTTTTATTTTAATCCCTTCAAGTGCCTGTGTCATAGGCGTACGGGTTCGATGAATGTTAGGGGACAGAACCTGATACGCCCGAGATATTTCGGGTTACGGAAGAAAATTTTGGAAAGATTGACGATCTCAAACGCGTTTTCTTAGCTCGAATCGTGATTGTGAGAACCGAGCGTTAATAGTCGGATTCGGTTTGTTATATAATTCCCATCCGTCGGCTTTTCGGGTAGAAATCATGGAATAAGCTTTATTTTGTAGGTTTTGATGTTTGATTACAAAAAAACAATGTTGACATTTTGTCTGAGTAGGTCTTCATAGTATGGGACGCCATTATTTGAGGGTAGCCATTTTGCGATAATATTCCAACTTATTTTATTATTTTCACCTTATTTATAATGTTATCGACATATCAACTGTGATTTGGCAATGTATTAATATTGGCAGGGTTCATCACTATACTTCAGATTGTTTTCCATCATTTCAGTATGATATTTCCAAGATGGCGACCATTTTTGGCGGAAAAATGTGCTGATTTCGATTAAGTAGTAGTGCTTGGTGTCAAAATATATGTTTTCGGGACCACAGATTCCATTCCTGACGTTTACAACCTTGTAAATTGATCACATGTTCATATACTTAGCATATTTCCAAGATGGCGGTCATTTTTTGGCTGGAAAATAGGACGATGTGCTGATATTGATTAAGTAGTCGTCGTTAGTGTCAATATATATGTTTTCAAGGGCACAGAATCCATTTCGGTCAGTAACAACTGTGTAAAATGATTATTTTGCACATTTACAATATGACGGCCATTTTTGGCAGGAAGATGGAATGATGTGCGGATATTGAATAAGTAGTCGTCTATGGCACCAAGATATATTTTTGGGGAAGCAGATTTCATTTTTGCCGTTTACAACTGTGTAAAATTATCACATGTTCACATATTTAGCATATTTCCAATATGGCTTTCATGTCGGGCGGGAAAATGGGACGATGTGCTGATTTTGATTACGTAGTCGCGTTTTTGTGTCAATATTTGTTTTTCGGGGGCGCAGATTCGATTTCTGCCATTTACAACTGCGTGAAATGGTGGTATGTTCACACATTCAGCATATTTTTGTTCGTGGCAGTACGTTTTCTAAACACATTCATATGTAAAGGTTTCTGAATCCAATTCTGCTATGTATAAGCTTGTAGCATGTTCCTGGAAGCCTGTGTCGAGTTTACCCATTAGGTATATTATCCAACAATGTAGAAGTTGGACTCCAGCGCAATATCATTCCACATGTTCGTTCTACATTCATCTTGGAAGTCAGTTGATAAGATAATCTATGCTATGAGGGCTTCTTAGCAAGTATTTCATTTACAGCCACGCCCCCACCACTATCATACACGTTGCTGTCAGGCCGGAACAAAGCTCCTGGCCATATGCTTGCTACGCTGTTACGACCTTTATGTATATATAGGGAAGATACTGAGCCTCGTCCATCAGCTCCAGTCTAGCACCCAAAGAGGAAACCTCAAGAAAACTATGAAATGTTCTTGATTGCTTGACTATTGGTTGTTTTCTGCTTTGAAAATGAATGAGGACGGGTGAGCATGGCACAGTCTCTATAGGCGTGAAGAGAGAACGCCTTACGCCTGGTAGGCATGTCACTGGAGTGTGGTGAGAAAGTATACCGGTCTGACTGGTAACGGTGAGATCATGGTGGGAACACTTTTCGCGTAGCCAGATCTTGGCAATGGGCGTAGAAAGATCTTGAAGTAATCGCTTGGTGTGGTCGTTGCAGGCGCATGATGGGCACGTGGCGTAAGCACCACGCTGCCGCTATGCTCTTTTTGCCTTCATGCCAGGAATAGGCTTTACTTTCCCAGGAAAATCGATGATAAATAAATGCCAATAATGTGTTTACAAAACGTTCCACCATCTTGGAAATATGCTAAATTGGTGAACATACGACCATTTTACGTAGTTGTATATGACAGAAATCGAATCTGCCTCCCCGAAAAACATATATATTGTCACCAACGACAACTACTTAATCGAAATCAACCCATCGTCCGATTTTCCCGCCACAAGTGGCAGCAATATTGGAAATATATTAAATATGTGAACATGTGATCATTTTACAAGGTTGTAAATGTCAGAGATTGATTCTGCGCCCCCGTAAACATATATATTGTCACCAAACACTACCACTTAATCAAAATCTGCACATCGTCTCATTTTCCCGCTATCTTGGTAATATGCTAAGTATATGAACATGTGATCATTTTACAAGGTTGTAAATGTCAGGAATGGAATTTGTGACCCCGAAAACATATATATTGACACCAAACACTACTACTTAATCGAAATCAGCACATTGACCGATTTTCCCACTAAAAATGGGCGCAATCTTGGAAATATCATCATGAAACGATGGAAAACAATCTGAGATATAGTCATGAATATTAATACATAGCCAAATCACAGTTAATATGTCGATAACATTATAAATAAGGTGAAAATAAAAAATAATTTTGAATATTATCGCAAAATGGCTACCCTCAAATAATTGCCTCCCATACTGTGAAGACCTACTCAAAAAAAATGTCAACATTTTTGTAATCAAACATCAAAACCTACAAAATAAAGTTTATTCCACGATTTCTACCCGAAGAGCCGACGGATTTACATCAACGATCGGACTATAAGACGGTTGTTGTATTAACATCTTCTATTTCTGTGTAACTATTGTATCACCTCACTGGTTTGCACGAATAAAATGAATAGTCAGACCTTTTATGCTCCTTAACGATGTCACATGTGTAAAATAAAATAGATATTTGAATAACTTCCTTGATGAATAAGTAGGCCAATAATAATATATAATACATAAAGAAGACGGTGTGTGAAATTGTATACGTATGTATAATATCAAAAGAGGGAGAGAGAAAGAAATGGGGTTTAACGTCCACTCGACACAAACCAGGTCATTTCGGGACTAACACATGGTTCAATTTTATTTCAATAATTCGTTTGCGCGTAGGGGTTTTTAGCAGTGGCAGGAAACCGGAGGACCCGGAGAAAACCCACGAGGTTGGACAGGCGACGTATAACTTCAACGATAAATAAATTCATTATTTATACATTTGGATTATGACGTGACTTTTTTTTTTTTTTTAATAACCAGAGGTCTTTTATGAAGGGTGAATACAGCAATTTCAATGTGGTCCAATATATCCTACCTTAGGTGATTTACCCGAATCCCAAATTCCTATTAACCAATCGCGGGGTATGGAGATTTGCGCTCCACGAGAAAATTCTAAAAATTTAACCGCCGCAAATGGGTTTTCCTGCTATTTTAGCATGCGAATTAAGCAAGTTCAAAATTTCCAATAGGGTTGCAACCGAAATCCCACTATATGCCGATCCGAATTCCAACCATCCAATCAGACTGTTGCAGCTACATTCTTAAATAATAATCGATTCCCGAAAAATGTCGCACAAAGTAGAGTGGCTTCAGACAAAATGCTTTAGTCCATATTAAATTGAGTACAAATTTGCGGTATTCAACGGTATTCAATTAAAAGATTTCGGACACTTTATTCTGCCCCCGACTGGGTTAATGAAGATGGGCATACGCCATACAGTGTATTATGAGGGACATTTTGTCCGGACAGCGGCACTATGGTCTTCTCTTGTATCGAATCCCAACTGCCAAGGGATCTTTTACGTGCACGCCAACGTTTAGTCATTGAGCAGCCGCGGCTCCCGAATGTTCTTTTTTCTGGTCAGATTTTCCGAGTAAAGGATTGAATAAGTCAAAAAGGTCATATCCCTGAATAAGCAATGGCTGTGCGATAGAGGGTGGGGGTAACGTCCACTCAACACAAACTAGGTCTTTTCGGGACTAACATTTGGTACATTTAAATAATTAGCATGTGCGTAGCAGTCTTTAGCCGTCGAAACCCAATTTCATTTTATTTTCATTTCTTTTAGCAGTAGGTGGAAACTGGAGAAAACACACGAGGATAGCCAGCGTGGGAACAAAACAAGGGCGGATCTAGAGACCATGGATGGGGAGGGGCGCTGCAAGCGGCGAAGGGTCCGTGTGACCTCCCCCGAAAAATTTCGAAAACTGGAAGCCCGTAAATGCCATTTCCTGTGAAAATAATCCGCTTCTAAACTAATAGATTATTATGGGACGTTTTCATTCATGGTGCGCCCCCACTAGATCCGCGCTTGCGAAATCACGCTATATATACTAAGGACTGGATTTACCGACGGTCATGTCGTCTTTAGCTTCCTTTATCAAGCGAGAATATGTATAGCAATAATATTGGGTTGATTTTATACGACACAGTGACTCAAAATTTCCGTTGATTTCATATCGGTTTCCGTCCTCATCATAGACTTGATATAATTATAATGTAGATGTACTGCTTATACCGTTCTTTAATCACGTTGGACAAGTCTCTCCAGTCATCTTAATAATGTGGCAATATTTACTTATTTTGGTAAGTTTTATATCATTAAATACAGTATATAAATGAAATCTTTTGAGTGTAAATTTATCCAGCGTTTAAATCAAATATAAATGGAACGCAGATGAAATTCGTTTACGCCCTTGTCCCAAGGATCTGATGATGATGATAACGATGATAACAATAGCCATAGTTTATAGCTAAACTATAGTGGACCTACATGTTCTCATAGAAAGTTTATGTATGTCTTTAGGCATGTCTTTATTTATTTCTGGGGTTGGATCGCCGAATGGTTAGCGTGTGCGCGCTGTATCAAAAGGTCTGTCATTGAGTCAACTATTGTTGTACGTGACAAGGAGCTAGGTCGCCTATCTCACCCCCTGGGTTTTCTCCGGGTCCTACGGTTTCCTCCCACTGCTATAGACCCGTACGCTCAAGCGAATTATTGAAATAAAGTTGAACCATATGTTAGTTCCGAAATGACCTATTTTGTATCGAGTGGACGTTACCCCCCCCCCTCTCTCTCTCTCTCTCTCTCTCTCCTTCTCTCTCTCTCTCTCTCTCTCTCTCTGTTTTTCTTTTTCTTTTCTTTGTTAAAATAACAATTAGCCAGCGAGTGGGATTCACAAATCGATAAATACCCACTGTATTAGTATACCACAGCAATCAGGAAACTGTTCCCCATGTCATTGTCAAAATTATAAGCCACTGCACTAGTGTGTACAATAATTTTGTGAGCCAAAGTGGGTAGGACATTGGTTCGCTAACCTGGAGGTCCCGTGTTCGATTCCTGCGTTGGCCTAGAAAGTTCCCCCGGGATTTTCCAGCGTTGTCCCCTCTTGTCTTTGGTGTAGGTGTGGGGGGGGGGGGGGTCTGGTAAGGGACGATTAATCAATCGGTCATGGCATTTCTACTGGTTTACCCACAGATGGTTTCATTGGCGAATCCCTCACGCCATCCAGAATGCCTGTTATATAACAACTCTTCCAGATCCTAGTGTAGTACATACAAATAAAACGAAATTCTAAACTATAAAAAACGAAACGAAATAGGACCTGTGTTTTAATTATTTTATTTTGCTATGAAAGCAACAAGTTCACATTGTCCGTAAATTTTCTTTCCCCTGTCTCTTTGGCAAATTATCATTTATCTCTACAAAGAGATAAAGAACATGAAAAACAGTCGTAAGGAACGAAATATTAGGTACATTTATTCTAACTCTTCTAGCTCATTGAAGCTTGGTAACTGCCAATACAGGTCTACTTTCTAGTCGTGTTTACATCTCATGACCCGTGACCCCACTTGAAGTTGGCCTTATCAAATAGTTCTAAACGAGGCCCTAGGTTTCAATCTGCCAAGCCAATAGGTAAATCCGACACTGATCTAAAGATTAAAATGTAATTATTATTTTCAACAATTACTTTTTCACATCACTTCTCTCGGCTGATGAATTATACATATAAACATAAAGGGTATCCGTATCCGGTTTCTTAAATATTTTAAAATTTCTTTTCATATATTATCATTGTTCACTAGATGCGCAATATTTGTACAACTGGGTCATAAGATACATTAAGATTAAAATCTTTTATTTATAAAAACGTGAAAAGGAGGCCTATATTTGCAGTTACCAAGCTTCAATGAGCTAGAAGAGCTAGAATAAATGTACGTAATAGTTTCGTTCCTTACGACTGTCTTTCATGTATACTGATGTCCAAAAGAAAGTATACACACTCAAAGTATGACTAAGTTTTGTTTAGATTAAAGACATACTGAGTTTGTCTCTTGCGTCCAAACTTACCATTTCTAAGCAAAATAAAAATGTGAAACAAATTGACATTCTACCCAAATACCGTATACCATGGAAAAACGACTTTGGTTGATGCAGCACAAAATGCAGAGTGTATATTTTCTTTTGGACATTAATATACTTTATAACTTTGTCGAGATAATTGATAATTTGACAAATCGGCAGGGGAAACAAAATATACGGTCAATGTGAATTTGTTACTTTCTTAGCAAAATATAAATACAATCAGATTAAAACACAGATCCTATTTCATTTGGGGTTTTTTAATTCAAAATTTCGTTTTACTTGTCTTTACTACACTAGGAACTGGAAGAGTTGTTATATAACCCGCGTTCTGGTTTATGTGAGGGATTAGCCAATGAAACGATCTGTTGCAGCTAGATCTTTGCGTTCGATGCGCGAAACTGTAGGTATCCTAATAGAAATATCACGCTGATTGGTTGATCAAATGTCTGACATCATAGGGTAAAAAGCCGCGCGTATGACCCCTGACACGACCTCCCACTACAACTGGTCAGATCTTCATGTATTAGAGGCCATCGAAAGTATAAAAAAAAAACGAAACGAAAAATAGATCTGTATTTTCATCAGCTTACTAGGAATGTCATCTGGCCTGGAACAGGGGAACACTGGTATACATATCCCAAGCTTAAACATGCATTATGCAAGAGCAAAATCGGCTTATTACAAGTCTTTCTTTAGGCCTGAAATGTTATCTAAATTATCAATTAGACATTAATTAACTTATCCAGACCATAATAAACTCTCGATGTCAAGGCTAGCCTTCGATGTTGGCTGGATTAGATTCTTATATGCCGCTAACGGCCGTTGATAATTAAATCAGAAAAAGTGGATAATCGAGACTATGCTGTTTATATTAATGATTTTAGTAATGATGACCGAGACTATGCAAAATTTCACCCGCTTCTTTCTCGACTCATAGTGGATCAATTTGACTGAAATTTTCAGCAAATTACCTTTACACTATCTAGTTTTTAACTATTATAGCGAGAACTACCATCTCTTTATCTTATCTCCAATATCTTTAAATACAATAAATACCGTCAAAATCTGTCCCCATGTGGTCGAGAAAGATTCTTCTCTTTTGCCCAACCGTTGAGAAAATAAAACTATCATTTTTGTCGTTTATTTGATTGTCGTATCCAGCAAGCGAAACGTTCGAGGACACAAAACGACACGGGGATCGTTTTAGTCACTGACACACCATGGCTCCCACCAGTGGCCAACACGCATGCTTTTACCTGTTAACACAATGCTTTGTATTTAGTTTGCAGTGGCATTTGGTAATACTATTCAAGCTGTAATGAACGACACAACAGTAAGCATGCCATCATCCAATACTACGCAACCAGAAACAACCACACAATCACCAAATACAACGGCACAAATGACAACAGCTACACAACCAACCACAATGACAACAACACAACCAACGGCAACAACTACACAACCACCAACAATGACAACTACACCACCAACAATGACAACAGATACACTAGACCAGGCGTCAACTTATAGCACAGAGATGTCAACAGATGAAACAGTTTATACAGCAATGACCACCGAACCAGCAACGTTTTTGTCTTCATCACCAGAAACGACAGACAATACGACACCAGACAATACGACACGCCCATCACCAAATACAACCACAGCACCACCAAATACAACCGCAGCAACACCAAATACAGACAATACGACACCAGACAATACGACACGCCCATCACCAAATACAACCACAGCACCACCAAATACAACCGCAGCAACACCAAATACAGACAATACGACACCAGACAATACGACACGCCCATCACCAAATACAACCACAGCACCACCAAATACAACCACAGCAACACCAAATAAAACCACAGCAACACCATCTACAACAACAATACGAACACCAACACCTCCACCTACATCATCAAAAACTACAGAAAGACTACCGCCATCACCACAGGCTAGTGAGTATAAACCCAAACTTGTATGAAAATATCTAGGAAAGGTTTAAAGTATATGATCTACCCAATAGCTTTACAAGTCCAATTTAGATTGATTTTCCGGTTTAGAAATGGAGTCGGGTTACACGTCTATTCCTCACTTTTTTGGTGGCCATTTTTCGAAATTTAATGTAGTGATATATTAGTCTTATAAGTTGGATTAACATATAATCTAAATTACGTTTCGTTTTATTTTTTATAGTACACTACATTGGGAAAATAAACGAAACGAAATTATCATTAGAATTAGTAGATTAACATTTTTGGTATAACTCCAAATAACAATTACATGTGGTTATTTCTATCTGCAGCATCGCCGCCATATTACTTGATAGGTGTGGTCCTATTCGTGGTTACAGGCGTGGGTGTTGTGGTGTTCTTTCTACTATACAAAAGGTAAAATCATAAAATTATTTAAAGTAACGAAGCTTTACGACTTAATCCACGCTAATATGAACTCTGATTGGTTAATCAACATTTGATAAAGAAATAAAAATCAATTGGGTTCAATCTGATTTAAAACAGGCCGATCAATTTGATTCACGGGCAAATAAAGATGGCGGAGGGTTTATTACATATGGAATTTTCAATTGAGCATATTGAACGGAATTGAACCATTGTTCGTATGATAATCCTATGAGATTGTAGTTTGTAAGGGATTCTATAGCGCGCAGATCACGCATAGAGTCTTTAAAAATTAATTTAAGCTTGATAATCTGTAGCTACGTAGATTTATTTAAAACATTGATCGATCAAATGACAGAGTAATATGTGTCCGTCATCCAAAGAACTCCTACTAGACAATGTTAATGTGCATCATTTGAGAAACTAATGATTTTTTAAGTTATTTTTATGACCAGATTATCTGTCATCTGTGAAAATGCGCATACGCTCACTCATATATCAGAATTCCAACTGACAAAGATTCGCTTACATGTACGCTAATGTATTTCATCCCATCCGAACGACTTTACGTTGTCCCTTGCCACGCCTCCGTCCTGCGCCACTGACAAGGGGAACCACGCTATCGGTCAACACAAAGATCGGGATCCAAAACCGGACCTCCAGTTTAGCGAGCCACAGTCTTACTTACTGAGCTTCCGTGTCCCTCATTTTGCATATAAACTGAGTGACATACATGTATATAATATACAATACAGGTTCGCCCAGAAATCAATCTGATTAAAATACAGATCTATATTTCGTTTCGTTTTTTTATACTTTCAATGGCCTACACTACCACACTGATCCGCAGTGAATATTTGCTTGGCCGCGACAATCACTGATAAGGATGACATTGATGCGGCTTAATGAGCTAGAAATATTAACTTTTTTCCTCCGACAAATTAAATTCTAAAAAAATTTTTGTATAAATTGGAAAAATATATAAAGGCGTTTGACGTATTTGTAGTTAAAAATTATTTCCGATTTAGTGTAAATGGGTATTAAAATGACTAAAATGCAGCATTCTCTCCGAAGCAGTTATGTCTTATGTAAACAATGCACGCGCCATTCAGCCAATGATTCACACCGCGTGCTGTGACAGCACGTGTTAAGGCAGTCATCTATGACAGAGATATTATACGAGACTCGTAATTCTCTGTGTAACAGATTTACGAAACTCGTAATTCTCTGTGTAACAGATTGCTACACTACATAAAGATCTGACAAGTTATAGCGATAGGTCACGTCAGGGGTCAAAAGACCGACTTATGACCCTATGACGTCAGACATTTGATTAACGAATCAGCATTGATGTTACTAGTGTATTACCCACAGTTCCGTGAAAAATACGCCTAAAGCTCGCCGGAACAGACCGTTTCATTGGCTTTTCCCTGACACCATTCAGAACACGAGTTAAATAACAACTCTTCCAGATCCAAGTGTAGTAAAGACAAGTAAAACGAAATTTTGAACTATAAAAACGAAACGAAATAGGATCTGTGTTTTAACCAGATTGCCCAGAAATAAGTTTAATCAATTTACGCTAGCCAGACAGATTAAAGATGGCTGTGTCAGTCTCCTCAAATAGCTTCATATCATTACCCCCTCCGTTCTTAGTTCTAAATACTTTAGTGCAACGGGCAATTAATACAGAATCTGTAAGATTTTAAAATAAAACACATGCCTAAACTTCAACAATGTCATGACTGTTGAGAACGAAGGCAGTGGTGATGGTGGTGGGGGGGGGGCGCGTAGTGGGTTGGGAAGTCGCCTTTGCTCCCAATTCCCCAACTGAAAACCCCCAGCTCAAAATCAACCCACCCTAATTGTTATTCTTCGGCAATAAAAATAAAAATTACCATATAATGTAATTTTTAGTTATCGTTGTTTTGCTCTCAGATTGAAAAAAGCGAAGTATTTTATTTTATTTACTGGATTGATTTTAGTTCCGGGCCCGTATCACGGACCCACCTCCAAACCTGAAACTTCAACAATCCAGATAAAATCTTGATGTGCCAAACGTGTATTGTAATTGGTTCCACACAAACTGTGACGTTTATTACAAAAAAGGAACAATTATTACAAAAATGAATGTTTATTACAAAAATTAACACTGAATTTTATTACAAAAATGAATTTTTTTGTTACAAAAATGAATTTTGTTGTTACAAAAACGCATTTTATTACAAAAATGAATGTTTATTACAAAAATTATTACAAAACTAGTTTATACAGAAGAAACTTGTGTTGTAATAAATGTTCAGGTTTGTAATAATTATTCTATGGTCTGTAGGTCTGTAGTACTGTATTTGTTGTTGTTGTTATTACAAAACTAGTTTATACAGAAGAAACTTGTGTTGTAATAAATGTTCAGGTTTGTAATAATTATTCTATGGTCTGTAGGTCTGTAGTACTGTATTTGTTGTTGTTTTCATTCAGAACATCAAGACTTACACAAACAGTACAAAATTTTAGATCAGGGAGAAAACTCACAAAAATAACTAGAACGCGGTAAGTTTTTTTGTTATATTTTTTTTTTTTTGGGGGGGGGGGTGTCTTTGTTTTGTTTTTTTTTCTTCTTGTTTTTTTATGTGTGTGTGTGTGTGTGTGCAGGGAAGAAAGCGTCCATTTGGAACTCAAGACTGGGCATGGAAAGTTTGTTAGGAACCCATGTAACATTTTTATGCAAGCCTATCTAACAGGCCTGTTTTGAATCTGCATATTGCGGGTCTTCCGTTTGGCCTAAAATAATATATGAACTATTATTTAGACATTTATTCACATACTAAGCCTATAACCAACTCTCTAGAACATCAGATGGCGGAGATTTAAACGGATTGAAACACGGTCGCTATTTAATAAATTAATTTAAAAATTGCTAATCGAGGCTAAGCCTCGAATAACAAGTACCGTTGTTACGATAATAAACAATCTATGCCACATCATGTCCAAACATTCCAATAGTGATAACTTCGCTCAAAATAAGGTAATTTGAATGAAATTTTATTAATGAAGCCACATGTAGCATGTAAAAATAATAGTAAGTGCAGGAGGACCGCACTACACGAGTAGCAAAAGCTACAAGATAAACCTGTGGACAAGTTAGCATTGAGGTTTGCTGTCTTATGGTACCTTCGTATCTCCATACATCAGTTTATGAGCGAGCATCAGGTGAATCTATTTTTATCAATACAGAATGTCAGAATGTCAGATAGCCGACCTCCATAGTGGTTATAGTAGATAGCCATCTATGTTTACTATTCTATAATTTTCTGCCGTGAACTGGACCAAAACAGTTCTACGTATTGAACATTAGTTTGGTTTAGCTTGTGTGTGAACCTACATTATAGACTAGGCTTCCAGTCTGAAGTTATCTAGGGCCTATGGTTGTTATGGTGAAATAGTTTACCTGTTATGCAATGACGTCATTTAAGTCAAGGTGACACAATGCTGTCATTTTTATTGGATTTGACAACAACTTTAATCTGTATAATCATGTCGTTTGGTAAAAGACGGACGAATTTCCAGGATGGTGCCAAAAAGTAAGAATAAGTATCTAGAAAAACTAATTTACGACCTATGGTGATCCATAAATGCCATGTATATATGCTTATTTGAGGTTTATAGATTTAGATGAATGGCTTAATGATAATGATAACGGTTGGATTTGTGGTATTATAATTAAGGTTGAAATATAAAGCCATTTCTGAATTTTCTGGTGTAGTTCCCGAATATAATTTTAAATGAGGTTAAAGTTTTGTTTTTGTTTTAGGCCAATTATTTTATCTAAGATGAAAGCCGAAGTGGAAGCGTTTCATCGTGATGATAATTTACTCATAAGCTTACATTATGAGGTAATTATATTATAAATCTTCGTGTATTCATCTTCATAGTATCAAGGTATATTTGTAATGGGAGTCACGGTGGCTCAGTGATTAAGGCACTGGTTCATTCACCAGGAGGTTCGATCCAGGTGTTGACGGAGAAAGTTCCCTGGGATGGGAGACACGGTGGTCCGGGTTTCGATCCCGGTGTTGTCGGAGAAAGTTCACCAGGATTCCCCAACGTGGTTTCTCCTCGTTTATTAAAAATCGCCTTGAACAAATATTGTATATCATATCAGAAACGTCATGCTTTGACATTAATTGAAGATGAGGATTCAGCACTGCCTGCTATATTTGAACCAAAGCGCACCCTTTAAAGTAAGATGCAAATTAATGGAAACACAATTCTAATTTCAGGATTTAACAAAATTGAGTCCAAAATTTAACAGCTTAGAAGCAAAAAAGGAAGAAAATACACTTAAGAATCGTTATATCAACATCCATCCATGTAAGTATAATTATATTATCAAGTTATTCTCAATATTAGATGTCAATTACAATGGAAGAGTAAATGATCTCCTTCGGAACTAGGGTTGTTCTGGAGTCTAATTCCGGTTCCGGTTTTCTCCGGGTCTTCCGATTTCATCCCACTGCTAAAGACCCCTACGCGTAAGTTTGTGTCGGGTGGACGTTAAACTCTCTCTCTCTCTCTCTCTCTCTCTCTCTCTCTCTCATCCCGGCTCCATGTTCTCTTCTCTCGTAGGACGTTAAACCCCATTTCATTTCATTTCATTTCTCTTTTCTCTTCCCCTGTGGCCCCTATTGTGAACAGTTCGCTTGTCATCGAAACCTACCGATGGTTTGTAACCGCAACTTGGGCTGTTACCAAGGACGCATTCAAGCTTGTTTGTTTACTTTAATGTTATTGGTGACGTTGCTTTAAATAATTGATCTGAATAAAGGAGCGTTAATGACTGCAATAAAGAGAAAGAAATGTGGTTTAACGTTCACGCGAAACAGACTAGGTCATTTTGGGACTAACATATGGTTCAATGTTATTTCAATAATTTACTGCGCGTCTTTAGCAGTGGGAGGAAACCAGAGGACACAGATAAAACCCACGAGGTAGGAAAGGCGACTACGGGTGGGGAATCGAAACCACACCACTTGACTCAATGGCAGGCCTTATGATCTATCGCGCACGCGTTTCACCGTAGGGTCATTCATACCCCGAGTGTAATAAAACTCTTCCCAAATATCACCAGAGAGAAAAATGGGGTTTAACGTTCACTCAACACAAACTAGGTCATTTCGGGACTAACACATGGTTCAGTTACAATTCAATAATTCGATGTAGGTAGGTAAACGTATTATAAAATGTTTATTGTAATACTAATATATAATTTTGTGTTTTCTTTTAAAGTTGATCACACTCGTGTTTGTTTACCTATAAAAGATGAGGATGTCAACTCTGATTATATCAATGCTAACTACATACCTGTAAGTTGTTTTTATTTGTACGGAAATGAAATGAAATGAAATGGGGTTTAACGTCGTACTTTCCTGTGCGTACTGGCCTAATGAAGACGGACATACGACGTTTTGCTATGAGGGAAAGTGAGCCCGGACAGCGTCAGCACCGACCAACTCTTATATCGGATTCCAATTGAGAGAGAGAGAGATGTGGTTTAAAGTCCGCTCGACACAAACTAGGTCATTTTGGGGGCCTAACATACGGTTCAATTTTATTTCAATAATTCGTTTGCACGTACGGATCTTTAGCAGTAGGGGGAAAACCCCGAAGGACCCATTAGGTTACACACGTGACCCTACTCCTTGTTACGTACAACATGTGGGTAATCGAAACCACGTCACACAGACCTTATGACCCCCCCCCCCCATCCCCGGATTCCAACTGTAAAGGGTCGGATAAAGTTAGCGGTAATATGAACACGGGACCTCTCAGTATTATCGTTCCATCCGAACGACTAGATGCTGTCCTTGCCAGGCCCTTAGTCCTACACCACTGACAAGAGGACGCGGTGAAAAAAAATCTCGAGGAAATTTCCCGGCCAACACCGGGAACGAACCCGTGGCTCCAGTTATTGTTTGATGGACTGTGGTGGGGTGCGGGTAAGGAACTACGGTGGTTCAATGAGTAAGGCGTTTATTCGCTCACCTAGAGGTCTTTGCGAGTATTCAATCTGATTGCCCCCTTGTCAGTGGTGCAGGACGGGGCCTATAATTAATCGGGTGCAAGGGAAAACTGTTGGCATGCGCAGATCGAATTCGATGATGAGTTATCGGAAACGCCACTGTCCGGCCTTTTGTGTCTCAAAGCACACAGTATATATGTCCATTTCATTTTAGTAAGGTTCTATTAAACAACATGACATACTTATGAAATGAAATGGGGTTTAGCCTCCTAATTTTCTGCACCGGCTGGGCTAATTTAGAGGGGACATTATGCCCGGACAACGGCGCTATGGCCTACTCTTATTTCGAATTCCAACCGTCAAGGTTTCCTTTTACGTGCACGCCAATCTGTACATGAGACCTCGTTTTTTTGTCGAATCCGAACGCCTATACGTTGTCCCTTGTCAGAACCTCCTGTCCTACACACATACTTATGAACAATAACTTATTTATTTGGGAGATGCTAAATGTAGGTCGCTTGGGGAGTCCACAATGGCCGCTTTATATAAATAAGTATTTTGGGGAATATTTACCTTAACCCTTTTAAACTTACACTTGTGTTACAATTTTAAATTCCAGTACACCCTAATATATGTATAACTGGTGTTAGGGGGGGGGGGGCAATAATTCGCTTACAGTTAGGAGAAAACACCACGTGTGGAATCGAAACCACGCGGCTTGACCCAATAACAGAGTTAATGATCTAAAGCGCACACGTATTAAATCATTCGGCCATCACCACAACACCCCCCCCCCCACACACACACACACCCTATATAAGAAAGAAACAATGTTATATATCATTGTTTTCAGGGTTATAGTTCAAGTAAAGAATATATTGCTACACAAGGACCATTACCAGATACAATCAATGATTTCTGGAGAATGATCTGGCACGAGAAGGTTTCAATAATCGTCATGTTAACATCACTTAAAGAAGGTCACACGGTTTGTACGGTTCCATTTCTTCTCCATTTCTGATATTTATTCTTTTTAGAGGTACAATCATTTTGGTTTGATTAAAGATGGAATATACAGCAAGACTGCAATGTTGTTAAAGATGCATTATGTTGTTAAAGATGCATTATGTAAGAGCTACATCTGCGGGTCTTTTTGGGGGCGATTCAAGTGTTATATAGACATTTATTAACATTGCAAGCCTAGAATCAACTCTCTAGACCAATGTTGAACGAGATTTAAATGGATTAGAACACCCGCTAGATTTAAAAAAATAAGGATAAAATGAATAATAAACAATCAAACTTCGCACGGAATAAAGTAATTTAATTGACATTTTCAGTATATTCATTTTGCATTATCCTTTAGGCCTTAAATGTTATATAAACTATTAATTAGACATTTATTAACATGACAAGACCATAATCAACTCTTGATACCATCTGATGGGTATGATTTTAAACATATTTGAATCCGATCTAAGATTCAGCGGCTGTTCATGATTAACCGTAAAAATGGATAATCGATACTTTGTTTATTATCGTAACAACAATAACAATGACAATCGAGGCTACAGTCTTTTGAAATTCGGTTTTCTCGGTTCAGAATGAAGTAATTAGACTGAAATTATCAGCATATTCCCTTTATTTATTTTTTCTAACTATTACAATGAAAACTGACATCTCTTTATCTAAGCTTCCATAACGCCTCTTTGATTTAACGGAGTTTAGTCCTCACTGAGTTACTGATGCCTTTCCTCAAGTTCACATGCATTCTTAGGCTTAAGTTAAGAATTTACTCAACTTACAATCACTGTTTATTAGAAATATCTTTGATCCAGAAACACATAGTTTCTTATTGATGTATTTGATACATTAAAACAAGAACAGTTTTATACGAGGCTATATTTTTGTTAAAATAAGGAGAAAAGTTTTGAGTAAATTCTTAACTTGAGTCTGAGAACGCTTTGTGAATCCGGGGCATGGTCTCATTGACATCATCAGATTATTTTAATAAACCTCTGCATATTTTGTCCTAATTAACACATTATTAAATCTATTAGATAAAGTGTGAACAATATTGGCCAGATGAAGTAGATGAAGTTATGGAATATGGGCAATATACCGTAGAAAAAATTTCAGAGGTGACAAAGAAAACCCACACATGCAGTACTTTAAAGATATGCTGTAATGAAGATTCACAGGTAAAAACAAATATAGTAGTATAAACATGTCTAGTTAATGGGATGGGACGATAACTGACGTTACGTGTAGGTTACAGATTGACATCCTCCATAGTTAAAAATCGAAATAGGAATAGGCGGAGTGCCGCAGTCGGGACAAAATTCCTTCAAAGCACGCTGTATTCATTAGGCTAATTATGTCTTATAATGGGTTGTATTATGGAGGTTTTTGACAAGGGCAGCGCCAATCGTCAAGATTAAAACCTAGAATTTTGTATACACTGCAAGAGGGAGAGAGAAATGGTGTTTAACGTCCACTCGACACAAACTAGGTCTTTTTGGGACTAAAATATTATTCAATTTTATTTTAATAATTAGCTAGCTTGTAGGGGTCCTTAGACGTGGGGGGGGAGGGCGGAGAACCCGGAGAAAACCCACGAAGTTGGACAGGCGTCCATACTCCTGGTCACGTACAAGTGGGAGATCGAAACAACGCCACTTGACTCAATGACAGACCATATGATCAAACGCGTTAATAATTTCAGCCACCCAACGTAAGGCTTAAACTATACTACTGGAAACATGTTGATGAAACTTAAATTGTTTGTTTCCAACCCAAAGATCTCAGCCCCTTTCAATATTTACGCATATCGGACTGTAACTTCCCGGATTATAGCCCCGGACCTGATTGTACGAAAACTCGCGATTTCAACTCATGGTTCCTCTAGATATCATAATTTTATCCGATTTTACCGTTACATCGAATTTCGTGAAAATCAGACAGAAACTGCCCGACAAAATGACCATTCCTTAATACACAAATAGTGTAAATACAACGGCTATGGACGCTCTATAGGTGACAATCGTTATCCGATTTTCAAGAAACTTAAAACATATTTTTTTATATTTTAAAGATCTCGGTTCCTGACGAAATTCTCGCATATCCAAACGTAACGTCCTGGATTATGGCCTATGATTGCACGAAATATCACATTTTTAGTTTGTGGATCCTCTAAAAGTCATAATTTTTTATCCGGTTTTACAAACCGTTTAAATATATCACGGTTACACCAAAATTATGATTGTGTTCGAATTTCATGAAAATCGGACCGAAACTGAACGACAATATGGTCGCTTCTTGTACGCATATAGTATAAAAATATGTAATACTAAGGTTTTGGACCCTCTGGATGTCACAATTTTTTTCCGATTTTGATGAAACTTATTGTCGTATGTCTGTCTAACCGTAACATCCTGGGACGAAAAACCGAGCTCCCATGTTCGCATTGGCGTGGACGTGCAATTGGTAGGTGGAATTCGATATTAGAGTGGCCCGTACCGCCGCTATCCGGGCAAAATTTCCCTCCTCATTAGCACATTCGGAGCAGAACAGTAGGACGTTAAACCCCAATTTCTTTCATTTCATTTATTATCTTTTGTAGAATAACAAAAAGACAGAATGCCGAACTGTGAAACATTTTCACTATTTACAATGGAAAGATAAGTCAGCTGCGCTGGAGAGAAGTGATATTTTACAATTTATACGAACAGTACGACAAAATATAAAATCTAACGACACAAGTCCAGTAGTTGTTCACTGCAGGTACATAATTTATTTTGTCGAATCATTATAACGGTTAAAATCATACAGAGGAGTATCCATGGTGGCTCAGTGAGTAAGACGTTGGTTCGCTAACCTAGAGGTCCTGTGTTGGATCACTGCGTTAGTCGACAAACTTCATCGGGACTTTCGGGCCTGTCAAGGGACAATGTATAGTCGTTCGGATAGGACGAAAAAACCGAGGTCCCTTGTACACATTGGCTTGCACGTACAAGATCCATTGTCAACTGGAATTCGATATAAGAGTAGGCCGTAGCGCCGCTCTCCAGGCAAAAGTTCCCTCGCAGCAGACTGTATGGCGTATGCCCGTCTTAATTAGCCCAGTCGGGGCAGAACACTATAAATTTGTTTATATAATATAAATTTATATATATAAAAATTTGTTTATATTTTATATATTTGTTTATATCATATATATTTGTTTATATAATATTTGTTTATATTATATATATTTGTTTATATTACATACATATTTTTGTCTGTATATATTTGTATATATAATATTTGTTTATATTTTTAATATTTGTTGATATTATATATATTTGTTTATATTGTAGTGCTGGTGTAGGTAGAACGGGTACATATATAGCACTGGATTACATACAACAATATATAGATCAACATGATTTGAATAAAACTATAGATATATATGAATATGTATTAAAACTCAGGAGTAATAGAGTTTTAATGGTTCAAACAGAAGTAAGTAACGTTTTGTCTAACTTTAAAAAGTCATCTGTACTGTAGCACACGTTCAGATGTTCCTTAAAATGTTAAGACAAAGAACTAGTTGTCATAAGATATTCTAGCTAAAAGAAAGTGGGGGAGCACCGCACTACACTACAAATTTAGAGTAGAGGATAACACTAAAATCTAATTCCCATACGTCTCCATATTTTATAGATAAATGTATTATGTTAGTGTCGCATACATCCTACCATACTCCAACCAAAATATCCTAGTAGCTTGTCTGACAAAAATATAACAAAGGACAAATTTGATAACCTAGCGTTTTGGTAATGGTATTGCCTTCACAACCACCCTCACTCCGAAATACATCCTATCTGACGGTTTTTAACAGTTCTAAAAAACATATACGTACTTTTTATTCGAAGCCAGTCATCAAGTGCTTATTATTAAAAATTGCTTACTATGCTTGTATATGTATAACTATTAACTACTGTATGTGTTTGCCATTTTAACTATGCATTATAAACCCATTCGCATTAATATTATATGAATTATTTAGGAAGAGGGATTTTACATAGGCTAAGCCGGTTCCCCAATCACATTCAGTCAATAACATGAATAAAAATATTGTTTATAAAAAAAAAAAAAAAAAAATTATATTATGTAAATTAGTGCACCATATTTTACTTGGTTTTATTTTTCAGTCTCAGTATTCGTTTCTATACGATTGTGCTGTACAACTGATAGAAGATAAACAGAATAAAACACAAGATATAGAATCAGATCAACAGACAAATCCTGGTTAGTGTCTTTCTTGTTTGAGACAAGGAGTAGGGTCGCCTGTCCAACCTCGTGGGGTTTCTCGGGTCCTTCGGTTTCCTCCAACTGCTAAAGACCCCTACGCGCAAGCGAATTATTGAAATAAAATTGAACCATGTGTTAGTCCCGAAATGACCTAGTTTGTGTAGAGTGGACGTTTAGCCCCATTCTCTCTCTCTTTTTCTTACTTATTTGAACGTGTGCCACGGTGGATCAATCAGTAAGACATTGGGGCACTAACCGTTCACCGAGAAAACAATATAAGAGTAGGCCGTGCGCCAGTGTTCGGGCAAAATTTCACTCTTAGCACACTGTACGGCGTATGCCCGTCTTCATTAGCCCAGTCGGAGCAGAACAGTAGGATGTGAAACCAAATTTCATTTTGATCGAGAAAGTTCATCGTAATTTTCCGGTGTGGTTCCCGCTTGTCAGTGAAACAGGGCGGGTCATCCGCCCCCCCCCCACACACACACACTGCTAAAGGCCCCTAAGTGCAAGGGAATTATTGAAATATCATGTTAGTCCCGAAATGACGTAGTTTGTGTCGAGTTGATGTTAAAACATCAGAAGGGGCATGTTTAAATATTTTAATTATTTTTTTTTTTCAGATGACCCAATCTATGAGAATACGCGTGATAGTAATGGTGTCATGACAACGGTTATATAACTATTTTATTATTACCATTTTAATGAAAAAATTAGGAACGTCATACGATATGCCCACTTAAAAGGACAATAACACTCTTGCTGGCTTGACAGCTCCAGAAAATAAAAAAATAGCCTTATTCTAAGTACTAGATGTGTTAGTGTCCTACCTGTTGTGTAAATTATCCATTAAATCCTATTTTACTTGTCCAGAGGGTTCAAAAATATTTTTAAATCCAAGTCACATTTGAAAAGCTTTACGTCAGCCATTTCATTTAGTTGGATTTTTCCAATTTTTTAAATTAGGTGTGTTAAGATGAAATTTGTATAATCAATTAATTGGAATATTGTAAAATAGTGCAATTTGTTGACCAGAATAAAGATTGGGACATATTATTCAGTTACAACAAGAGTGGTATTGAGCCTTTAAGTACTCAAATTTAATGTACATTCAAAGGGAGGGAACTCGTTGATTTGAATTATGAACTATTGGATTGATTATACTGTGTTCACACTGTGACCTGTTTACAGTATTTACGTATTTCCAACTTGAATACGGAGTTCGAGCCATGCTATATAGGTTATAATCGTACAAGTAAAACACCAGTACAACTGGTAAATTAAGAAGAACAAAATAGTTTAGACATAATTTAATCTTAATTATCCAACACATTGCAAAATAGAACGAGAATATCAAATAATAATTTACAGCAAATAAATAAAACACAAATAAAATTATACATCAAATACTGCAATAATAAAATACAATCTAATGTAATAATAACTTATTTTGCAGAATTTAATACTGTCTGTACATATTTTATCATTGTGTTATTTTTTCATGTGTGCCCATTTTGCCTGTGGCATTATCACCTGTGGTATTTTACCTGTGCACCATTTCTACTTTGCACACTCTTATATTAGTTTGACAGCGGAGTTTGCTGGAAGTAGTTTGTCAAGAAGTATCCACCTTGGATTGATTGGCAAGTTATTTCCAAGTCGGAAACTCATATTTACCCCGTAAATACGACATGATTCGATCGGAGAAGGACAAATTCCACAAGATGATATTTTTATTTGGACATAAAAATCGTAAGTGAGCTTCTTTACATCAATAAGCTTACTGTCTCCCATTTCTGAATTTACAATTTAAAACACTACAAGAACGTTCAGAGATCTTATTCACAAACACTGAAATCAGTTAAAATCGATTGTAGCTTAAAATTTGAGCTTTACTTAAAGATGCATTATGTAAGAGCTAAATCTTCCTATTGCAGGTTTTTATTTTAGTTTCAAATGTTATATAAATTATTATTTAAACATTTATTAACATGACAAGCCCATAATCAACCCTCAATGTTAAGTAGATTAGAATGATTTAATTTAAAAATGGATAAGCGAGGCTAATTTTATTCTCGAATAACAAGTACCGTTGTTAAGATAATAAACAATCAATGCCAAATCTTGCCAAAACTCCAAATAGTGATAATGTCGGCAAGAATAAAGTAATTTGAATGAAATTTTCAATATATTAATTTTACATTAACAATTATAGCCAGCTTTGTATCTAAATCTTACATAATACATACATGTATTTAAGATATGTCATATTCACCATACTCATTTTCCCAAGATTTTAAGTTACAATCGATTTTGAGTTAGGTCAGCTACTACCCTGCCCTAACTTAAAATCCCAACAACCTGCGTGAATATAGAATCTTATTAAACTGCCTCGAAAATCTAGAAAACTTTATTCTAATAAATTCCTCAGATTTGACGGTTTTGTCCAATTCTTTTTCAGACTATTAAAGTCATCAATCTGATTAGAATACAGATCTATATTTCGTTTCGTTTTTTTTATTCTTTCGATGGCCTACACTACATGAAGATCTGACAAGTTGTATTCGAAGGTCGTGTCAGGGGTCGTACGAGCGGCTTTTGACCCTATGACGTTCCTACATTGATTAATCAATTAGCGTTGACGTTTCTAGTGGTTTACCCACATTTCCGTGCATGGCACGCCACGAAGTCGCCGTAACAGACCGTTTTATTGGCTAATCCCTCACTACAAAAAAACGTCGGTAATATAACAATTTTCCAGATCCTAGTGTAGTAAAGACAAGTAAAATGAAATTTTGAACTATAAAAAACGAAGCGAAATAGGATCTGTGTTTTAATCAGACTGTAAAGCCATTTACCATAAAATAATAAACAATCTAGTCAATTTGTTGATGTTTATAATATATGTAAAAATATAATATAGTTATTTAAAGTGTTTATTTTATATATAATGGCATAGTTATTTGAACTGTTTATAGTTATTTAAATTGTTTATATTATACATGTATAAACACGTATAGTTATTTAAACTGTTTATATTTTATTGTATGATAATGGATATATGATATTATATATAATTATATTATTGTGAATAATAAAACAGGGCTTTATTTCATATTCTGGTATATATATTAACAAATGAATAAATAACAAAGAACGAAAATTATTTCTGCATGTGGTAGATAAACGAGGATTTCACAATGAAATATATGTCACGTGGTAGAAAGTTGTTTCTATCTATGTGGTTTGCTAGACTGGATAACCTGCTCTAATACATCAGACTCGCTCCTACGTCACTCCTTTATATTGAAGTCAAAATAGCGCAGTGACGTAGGAACCAGTCTGACGTCATTTAGAGCAGACTGTCCAGTCTATGTGGTTTGCGAGATTTACTTGCGAGATTTCACGAGAAATTGAACTTCCGGTGACATGTGTGAAAATCGGAGAACGCTAGATCGAGGACGGCAATCTGTTTTACAGACCTAATGCGACATCCGTCTTTTATCTCTGTCCAAGATGACTGACCTTTAAAAGGTCAGACCGCTATAGTTCTAAGTGTGACGTCACATCACAATGTTTACCAACAAAGCAAGATGGCGTCGATAACGCCAAAAAAGATTAATTCTGTGGCTTGTTTTTGTTGTTTTAAACACGAGCAGGTCAATCAGATTAGACGGTAAAAAATGTACTTCTGAAAGAATTCAGAGTAAACAAACAGAAAAAACGTCAAATTGATGGCCACACGTGCGTTGTTTACATCGAACGTAGTAATATGAACTGGTAGGGGCAAAATTATATCGTTTTACCCATTTTACGCCTCCGCGTACTATTTTCTGTACCTATTTACGTTAAATATGGAATATTTTTTATCAAGATATACGTCAAACACCTTTTTTATTTTTCTAATACTAAAAAAAAAATGTTTCAGAATTTAATTTGTCGAAAGAAAAAAGTTAATATTTTGTAGTCATTAAGTCGCATCGATGTCATCCTTATCAGTGATTGTAGCGGCCAAGCGAATATTCACTGCGGATTAGTGTGCGAGACGGTCCTACGCATTTCTTTACCTTGGTGTAAGCGGCCCGTGCATTCGGAGTTCTTTTGTTTGACCGAGTGTTTGGTTTGATTTTCCCCGCGAAATTCAATCAGATCAGACGACCAGTAATCTTAAAATGTCGGACTCTGAGCCTAAAATGCCACTGAAAAGAAAGAGGTACGGTATATGCTGTTATCGCTGAATAATCCAATTTCCTTGCTCAATTAATCGACCATAGTAACGTCTCACACGTCAGATTATCTCAACGCTTCAGATTTATTATATGTTCTCGCAGCTAACGTCAACGAACTTCCAAGGTAGGCCTACCACCAGTGGTGCAGGGCCTGTTAATATATTAGCCTATAGGATAGGTTATTGCCGGCTTTTAATAACCGATTTTTAATTCATTGTCGACAAAATGGCGAAAATTTAACCGGTCCTTGGTTCATGGTGTATTGGTAGCCTGCATATGACTTGTATATTAATCACACTTAGTCCGGGGGCTGAGGGGGGTCCTGTTTGCAATCATATGTCCCCTAATTTTGACTCTTGATCCCTGTAGGGTACCCATTGGAGATTGAAAAAAACTTGGGTAGACATTCCAGATATGGGGCAGAAAGGTGTAATTCAAGATGGCGTTCAAGATGGTCGCCGTACCCATATACCCGATACAACTCCATCTGGATTTGTCCTAAAGTGATGAATTTGGTGTCTTTAACAGGTTTTGAGGGTCAAGGAATCCATTGAAATCATTTTCAGGGTGAAAAAAGTAGCGGGTAATGGTGAATTCCAAGATGGCCGCCAAAATGGCCGCCACGCCCTTTCGGCTAGCCTGTAAAGGTGCATAATTGAGCGAGGAGAATAAACTTGGTGTCTTTTCTAGAGTTTTAGGTGTCAGGGATTGCACACAGACCATTCACTCTGCCGGAAGAACAATTTATCATTGTTAATTTCAGTATAGGGCAGCCAGTTGATCAGGATACTGGTTTTACTCAAACAAATTGTCAGAAGGATTTGTCTGACTATGTGACAGAGATTGGATACTTTATTAACATCTAGAGATAAACTATCGTATTTTGACAAGCGTTGTTATCTTGAACAATGCTGTACACAATATTCACAAATCTACAAATGTTCACCTTAAATAAGTTGTACAGTTAGGATCACTTTTCTGACAATCATTTTTTTATGAACCACACCTACTCTGTCAATTTCTCAAAATACCACCATTAGGATTTTTGCATTGGTTGCACTGACTGTTTGCCTGGCATTTACAGAATATGCAGGCGCCATTTTGGGTCCCAATTATGACGCCATAAAAGCTATGACGTCATGGCGTCATACAGGTTTACACATAGAAATATATAAATAGTCTATTTATATATTTCTATGGGTTTACATACCAAAACGTTTTATTTTTTTCTTCCAGTATTAGGCGTTGAGGGATAACGTTTTAGCCTAAAAAAAAAATGCAAAAGAAACCAATGCAGTTTGGTTCAGTGATTAATATATCAAACAAAATCATACTCAAAATCAGGGAATTTTCTGAGAGCGATATCTCGCAATCAGTGTGTTTTACTATTTACTCGTGGGATTATAAATGATCACTTTTTAAATTCCTCAATCACATCAATTAAAGAAATGTATTTTCCATATGGTGCCGGGCATTTCTTTTAAAATGGCTGCTGAATTTGGTAATATAATGCCATTTAACAAAAAAAACATAAATTTGGTATAATACGTAAGATACGTAAGATATGACTTTTGCTTTGGCTTTTATATGGTTTTCGATGTCTCCGAATTTGAAGATAAATTTTGAAAATACAAAATGGCAGCAACAAAATGGCAGATATGAAATTAATCGTCATTTTTCCTGTTGGATATTAGATAGTGTCTCTATACCATAATGTACGTAGTTCGATGTACCCCGTAGTTCAGATACAGCCTCCAAACCGTGTTTACACTGTAGTTTGGATGTAGTTATTAAAATAAGATGAATTTTACGATGTATCAATCCCGAAATAACAAGGTTTTGTCTTAAATGAATATATATTGTAAACGCGCTTTAAATACCTGGATGCGATAGACTTCGTGTAGAAAATTCAAGGTACATATTATCATTGGCAATAATAAAAATCCAATTTTAGTTTTAAGTTACACACTGTTAGCCACCAATAGATGTTGTAATGACAATAAATCATAAAATTTATTCAGCTCGACGTGAGACTTAAATATAAATAGATACAGTTGGTTTAACTTGAATAGAGATTTTAATTATCTATGCTGCATAATACGCATATATCACCTTGCAGCTGAATCACATTATATATCTTTTTAGTTGGTGTTCATATAGTCATACGTATTTGTCAACATCAAGGTGAACTTGCTCTTTTGTCCCATAAGCCTATTCAGACTTGTTACCACGAATTTACTACCCCACCCTCGCATAGTTATGATTTTTTTTTTTTTTTTTTTTTTTTTTGCTTCACTTGACTAAAGAAACATTTTGTAGGAATGTATGCTTTTATAGATTGAACACGTGTTTGCGATATCATTTTCGGTGGAAACTGGCACTATACCTAAAGAATGATTGAACAAATAGCGGAGACGGGGTTTCAGCCAGCTGATTTAAATTATTTCTTTAAATACAGTAAAGCTTGAAATATGTCAGTTTCACTCTTTAGAATGTTTTTGTAAATACGTTTCTATTGTAGTTTCCGTGGCGTATTCCCAATAAGCGTTAAAATCAATGATACCCTTAATCCCGGTGCTGATCAATGTTGGGTTGTGTGAAACATGCTAACAAATCTCAGGTACGATATAGGTTTGATTCTGTTTGAGAACAGCATCAGAGCAACATGATTGTTTTCATTGGAGATGGGGCGCAAATATTCAAAGGGGTCAGAAAATAACAAGTAGATTCAAAGAGCCATAGAAACCTACTTTCCGGTGATGTATGACACAATAACTGGAATTTCCTATTAAGACACGTATTTTGACATTAAACACTCGCCCCACCCCACCACTCTCTTTAATTCAACCAGTGAAGGCTACCAAACTTGTATCAATTTTAATTTAAAAAAGTATATATGCATTCCGCCGAAAATATAATAAATACATTTCAAGAGAGGATTAACTTTACTTTTCAGTATAGATATACGGAATTTAAGCCCTGCATTTTTATTTCAAATCCCCTCCCCCCCACACGCACACACACCCTTTTCACTTTTCAAGGCAAGTAAATATAAATGTGCCAGTAAATTATTTATATATTTGAAAAGAACCATGAACTTGCTTTCTACTGATATGTAGCATGATATCTGGAATTTCGTATTAGAACCCGTAATTAGACATTGAATACCCCCCCCCCCCCCCACGTAATTACTTAATAGAGTTCAGTATTATCCAACTTTGATAGTTTTTCAAGGTAAGTAAATATAAATGTGCCAGAAAATTATTTACATATTTGAAAAGAAAAATGAAAGTGCTTTTCAGGGATATATAACATAATATCTAGAATTTCGTATTAAGGCCCGTATTTTTACTTTGAAAACCCCTCCCATCATTTAATAGATTTGTGTACCATTCGTCTTTGATCACCCCTCAAGGCAAGTAAATACATATGCGCTTTTCAGTGATATGTAATATGATATCAGGAATTTCGTATTAAGACCCGTAATTTGGTAGTGAGGCCAGCTTGATTCGCAGTTAGTGAACGGTAAGTATTCTTAGTGAAGGATGAGATAGTGAGGGCTGACTTGATCTCGTGGCCGCTTCAACATTGATAAATGTTGTCGTGGTGTCGGGTTATAATGTCGTGATGTCGTGGTGTCGGGTTGTCGCCTTATGAAGGGCGACACCACGACATCACGACATGATACCAATCAGCCACCATAGCCGAAAACCGAATTTGACAAAAACCAAAAAATGTATTTTTCACATGTATTGCGCCCTTCATTTCTTCCAATACGGCAACCTGAAAGTGGTCCACTTTCTGAATTCCAATCAACAAATCAACCAATCAGGCTGTTGTCGTTGCCTTCACATGACACCAGTCGTGTCACTGATGAAACAAATAT